GATGGCACGGCAGGTGAGCGACTCGTTGAAGTCGTCGTAGCCCAGCCTGGGGGACGAGGCGGGGGGGGGGGGGGGTGGCAGGGGGGCGAGGCAGTAACCAACGGGCTGTACAGCCAGCACTGGGAAGGATGCATACAAGGCACTACAATTAAAGAGGCGGCATGGGAAAATAAGAGCGGTAAACGCAAACGGCCGCATGCGCCCTGCCGTGTCGCCATTGAGGGACGCACACTGCGCTGCCGGCCGTAGCACCATCCTGTTACGGGCTGGTGTCTCTCTGACCCACCTGTGCGCCGTGTCCACCCCCTGCGAGGCCAGGTGGTCTATCTCGTAGCTCATGACGTAGAAGATGGGCGTGATGATGCGGTCCATGAAGAAACCGCCGTCGCCGTACGACACCAGGTCCGCCAGCAGGTCGCGGTCCGACAGCGGCACCTCGCTGTTGTTCAGGCGCGACAGGATGCTGCTCATCTTGCCGCAGTCCTCGGGGCGCATGTCCTGCAGCGGGGGGTCAAAGTCCATACCAAACCATAGGAGACCACAGGTTAGGGCAAAGCAGCGGGGGGCAGTGAAGACGTGGGTTGCATGCATGCATGTGGGTGTGTGAGGCGCAAGCTTGTACGGTAAAACGAACGGTTGGGTGAGGATGTCGCAGCAAACAGGCGTGCTGCAAGCGAGTATGTGCGAGTAAACAGGCATCTGGGTATTTGCATGGCATGGAGAACCAGAGATGCAAACAGCCCGCGACCCCAGTAGCACCCCACGTACCGCCGGTCGGATGCCGATCTGGTTCTGCAGGTCCGTCAGCAGCTGCTGGAAGGAGTTGCGCAGCTGCGGCAGCCGCTCGCGTGCGTTGGCGACGCGGTTGGGCTGGCCGCTGTTCCACAGGTCGGCCATCACGTAGGAGTGGTTCATGCACCAGAAGATGAGCCACATGGCCTCCGGGCAGAAGCGCACGTTGGCAGCCTCCTGTGGTGGGACGGGGGCGGCGAGGGAAGGAGCTAGCTAAGGCCTGTGCGGCGGAAAAGGCATTTCCTTGTGGACCAGTATGGAGCAATGGCCGCTGAGATCCGCTGAGATTGCAAAGGATTTAGCGCTTTACTACGCTAAAGACGTGACCCATATGACACGGAACAGGTCGTAGCACAGGTCGCTTTAGTGTACACAGAGCAATGTAAGGACCGGAGAGAAACCAAACCAAGTAAACCTTGGGTTGGGCCAAGACCATGGGAGGGCTGGGAACAGTTGCTGGGCTATCAACGGAAGGATGGATGCGGCGGTTCACACAAATGCATGCAGCACGCAGGGCCCGCCGCAACCTCGTGCCCTTTGTCGTCATACCGAGTAGATGAGGAAGTACAGCGCCAGCTCGCACAGCAGCCCGTTCATGACGTTGTGGTCCGAGAACACCTTCTCCCGCAGCGTGTCCGTGAAGCGCTGCGGACGAGGTGACAGCCGCTGCATCTTCGTCCATTGCATCTGCATGTGCAAGCGGCAGTGGGGGTGGCGGCCATTTATTCGTAACATGCTGTTTTAAAGCATGATTGGCGATACAGCAATGTCGTGGTTCAGAATCGCAGCATGGTGTTGAACACGTATCTATGGGATAGCCGCACTAGACAAGATACAACCTCCCGGAAACTCCAACCGCTCAAGTTCGTCACGCACACGTTCCTCCATCCCCAGCCCTCCCCCCTACCTCATAGCTGTAGAATATGGTGGAGTGGAACTCAAACAGCGCCTTGCCGAAGCGCTCGTCGTCCGTGTCCTCCCCGCGGTGCCGCCGCACGTAGCCGTTCTTCACCAGCAGCTGGTTCAGGTGGTCGGCCGCGACAAAGATGGTGGCGGGAACGAACTCATGCTTGGGGGATTCGCGGGTCGTGGGGCGCATGTTGAAGGCCTGCGGGACAACGCAGGGGTGACGTGCAGTTAGAAAGGTGAACGCCATGCAGGATTGCCGACCCCGCCTGGGCCCCTGCAATGGCTCTCCACTATGCATGCATGCCACCAGCCGTACGCAAGGCCCACCCACTCTGCCTCCTGTCGTACCTGGAACCCAAATACGCGGCCCACTCGCCACACGGTGGCAAACACCAAGCTGTCCCAGTGCCCGGTGGTGATGATGGGCAGCTTGATGGTGCTGCGCGCCTTCACGGGCGGGGCCACCGGAGCCGGAGCCGCCTTCTCCGCTGCGCCCTCCCCTGCAGCCGCCTTCCACTGCACGGCAGCGGTGGCCAGCTTGGCCGCGCCCGCCAGCGTCATGCTCGGCGCGGAGCTGCGGAGCCCCGGCGGCTCAACCCCCGGCGGCTGCTGCGCCGGTACCGTCCCAGCCTGGGCCGGTAGCGTCAAGCGTGTGGGTGCTGCTGCGGCGGCTGCAGCAGCAGGAGCCGCAGGGTCTACGGGAACCACTCCAGAGATGCGGAACTGCGGCGGCAAGGCCTCACCAGGCGGCAGCACGGAGGACAGCGATCCGTCTCTAAGCGACAGCCGCGCCCCTGCACCCTCCGTCTGGAGGCTGTATCCGCCGCCCCCCGAGGAGAACGTCTCCTGCAGAGCCGCCTGGCTGCGGGGCGCGAAGGTGCTGGTTGTGGACGTGTTGGTGACGGTGAGGGTGCTCCGGGTGATGTCGCCACCCACAAAGGAGGCGCCCCCGTGCTTGAAGGCCCGGTACATGCCGCCCACGCCGCCCTTGGGCAGGAAATCCGACTCGTCATCGCCGCTGGAATCCCCCAGACCCAGCCCCAGACGCAGCTGCTTGCTGGTGCCCTCCTTCTTCAGCACCCCCTGCACCACCTGCGGCATGCTGCCGCCGCCCTCCATCGCATCCGGGTGCTGCCCGCTGTCGCTGTGCTTCTTCCGTACAAACGAGCCCAGCCCCAGAGCGCTCGCCACGCGCTCTTTGAAGCTCTGGTTGCTGCTGGAGCGGCCGCTGGAGGCGCTCAGCTGCTTGCTCTGCGCAAAGCGCAGCCGCCGCTGGCTGGTCTGCGAGCGGAGCTCCCCGCTGCTGCTGCCGCCCTCCAGGCTGACAGAGCCGCCGCCGCTGCTTCCCCCCGCCGCCCGCTCCGCATCCACCTCCCGCACCGCGCGCTCCGCCAACTCCGAGCGTGACAGGGCAGGCTGCTGCTGGCCGCCTGTGTCCGCACCGCTGGCGCTGACGGCTGAAATCCGCGCTGCGTCCCCAGGCAGCATGGCTGCGGACCGGAAATTGTGCATCGTGGCCGACCCAAAGCCCTCCTCGGCTGCGGGAACCCTTGCTGCCGTGGAGCTGGATGACGAGCCCTCGCGCCGTGTCGTGAATGCTGCATCGCAACAAGGGGATTAGCAAGGGTAACGTCAACTGGGTCATAGTTCACTCACTGTGCGCTGCAATGAAGAACGGTTGATAGAGTATAAAAGGCCTTCCACAGCATTGCGGCATGCAAAGATCGTGAGGCTCTACAGACAGGGCGCACCCTAAACCCTCCATGCGCTGCAAGCCGGAAGCCTTGCATGCATTTTCCATCAACGTCACTGCAAACAATGAACACCGTCACGCACTTTTCGTGATGGAGCGCCACACCGAACGTGACAGCGTCTCGGCAGCGGGTTTGTTACGGTCCGCTGCACCCTCCAGTATCTCCACAGAGTTCCGCCAGCCCACCCGCGAGCCACTCCGCGACATGGGCGGCCCCCGGCTTTCCTCCGTTGCCAGCTGCGGAAGACTGCTAGCAGTGCGGTCGTCGGGTCGGTCGGCTTGGGCGCCGGTGTCCTGGTTCCATGCGAGGGCCGGGGTGCTACCCTGCTCCGCAAGCTGGGCACCGGCGGCCAGCCCAGCAGACCGCTGCTCTTCCAACCCAAAACGTGACAAAGCAGAGGACTGCGAGACTGATCTGATGCGTTGTGGCTCCGGCAAACCGCTTTGGAAGGAGGTAGATGCCCGGGCCGTGGCCAGCCCATTTGCCGTGATGCGGCCGGCAACAATGGTAGGGCCCGAGGTGGAGGTCTCCAGGTTTTGTTTCAGGGAGCGCCAGCTGGACGCCTGGCTGACGGTGTGTTGCGAGCTTGTGCGATAGGCGACTCCGTTGCTGACGCCGCTGGTTGAGGACTCCTCGTGCGACACAACATCCCCTGGCGGTGGTGCGGCTGGGGTGTCATCCTGACCCTGCTCCAAAACCTGCTGCCCCGAGTTTACAAAAGAGCGCCACGAGCGCGCAATGCTGGGGGCGGTGGTCTCCAGGGTGGACAGTGTCGCCTCGACGATCGCATCGCTGGGTTCGTGCACGAGCTGGCTTTGTGACAGGACCGACGTACGCCACCCGACACTCTGAACGCTACCCGAAGCATCGGTGGAATCCTGCGGCTTCTCCGCTGTATCAGCCGTACGGTCCTCATCATTCTTCGCCAACGCCCGGACGCTGTCTCGCCAGCCTTGGGAAATTCCGTCCGATGGCCCTTCCTTGGCGACTACGCTGCGGCCGTCGTCGGGTTCAGAAGCTGGTTGCATGTAAATATAACGCCTCTCAGCTTAATAACTGAAAAAAGAGGACATGCGTCCGCTGCCCGCTGCCTAGTGACATTTAGTGCCCCAGGCGTAAGCCTTCAATCCCTATATAGTTTTTCAGGATTAAAGTAGGTAATATATATGTCAATGCAGGTAACTGCTGGCGTCCTAGTTACTACACGGCTAGTAAAGACTGGACGAAGAGTCTATCCTCTATCCCAGTATTCAATCTGCCACCGGCGCAAGGCTCTAGATACCTATACGGAAGACAGAACGCGTCTCTGTGGCAAACTAGTCATACAGTCCGGTAGGTGCGCTGTTCGACTTCAGGTGTGCGCTATACATCACGAGAGCCCCGTAGGTCCCGTAATCAGTGCCTGATCAATCCGTTAAGCCTGTAGAAGTTGTGTCATAGAACGTATGTGGAGATAGCTGGAAAGGCAGCTGAAACCTCTCCATTGTACGACGTTACCGAGAAGACTATACAGCACACTCTTCAAACAACGTGTCTACACACTCTTCTAGTCTATTGCTTACCAAAGGTATATTAAAGATGACGACCGTCTCCAGCCTTCGCCCAGATCAGAAGAACTTGACCCTCACTGTCAAGGTGAAGCCTTAGCTGCAGATAGGAGTGGCTTTACATCTTGTTCTATATCTTACCTTAGAACTTTTTACAGGTTTTGGATGCAACCACCGTGCTGACCCGACAGCGTGGGCCTAAGGCGCCTGCGGTCAAGGTCGCTGAGTGCCTAGTTGCAGACAGCACTGGTGTTATTGTCTTTGTGGCAAGAAACGATCAAGGTAGACCTTTTCGCACTTATCGCTACAGCTGAGGGTTGCTCATCACTGCACCAACTTTATCCTTCTGCTCCTTGTAGTTGACTTGGCACAAAAAGGCGCAACGATCACGCTCAAAGGCGCCAAAATCGACATGTTCCGTGGCTCAATGCGGTTGTCAGTGGACGCGACGGGTTCAGTGGAGGCCGGTGGCGATCTGCAAGAGCCCGTGAACGTAAGTGTGGCCTGCACGGTAATCAACATTCTTCTACCTTCTATGCGTATTTGGGCGCGTAGGAGACATCGTTATAGGACTGCCGAAGGGAACACGTGTCCTAAAGGATTTGTATCGTCGATTGTTGTCCTTCCCGCAGACGACCAACAACATGTCCCTATTAGAGTTCGAGCTGGTTACCGTCGGCGCCTGAGGGACCCGGCGTGGTTGGGGGCGGGCGTGTGCTTGACTTGGGTATGGGTGTGCCCTCTGTGCACGGGTACGCCTATGCTCCCGAGCAGCTTTTCGAGTGCTGACTGTACAAAGGGGAGTGTCATGTTTAGACACGAATCGGGTCGAAGTGGGTTGCCTGTCTATATGTCGTAACTGGTGATAAATTGGTGATGTTGGGTACTGGTAGGTAGAGTGTTAAGACCATGGCTGAGATAGTCTCAGGGTTTGTGCATTCCGTGTGGCATGCACTGGGTATGCCGGTGTTAGTGCCATTTGCTACAACTGGGCGCTGTGGAAGAGATCTTTGGCGAGCTAGCAGATGATGGCTACCTTTTTGGGAAGTCTCCAGAGCATAACGGAGCAAACTAAGTGTCGGTATTGTTGCAGGATGCAAAGGCGTTCCGAGAGTCCATTACACTCAAACCATACGGGCCTCCCACCATCCGGCAAAGGCTCAATAACCAGGAGCCATGTAACGTGCAATCATGATGCAAAGAAGTATCAGCAAAGAATTATTGGAAGTAACAGCAATCCTCCTGCCCATACACGCCTACAGTATCAACAGCTGGTCGCAATTTCCTAAGTGTCAACACAACACCAAGCTTCACCGTCGCCCTATGCGCATAGGGACCTGCGAGATGTAGTGCATCTCTGGTGTCCCGAGCGACATGGGTACGACCCCGGGTGATGCCCCAAGTGGGTTCTGAACCAGCATGTCTCCAGCATCGTACGGCGAGGTGCCGTACGGCGACGTGGCCCCATCCCCGTGGCTAGCCGTCTCGGCAGACGCATACGACATGTACGAGGTCCCCAGCAGGGCCGCCCCTCCGCGTCCACGCCCGTGGTGGTGGTGGTGATGGTGGCCGCCTCCGATGCCCGCTATGCCGCGTGCAGCTGCGTGTGGTTGTCGTGGCCGCATGCCGCCTCCCGCGTGCAGGCGGTGCGAGGGATCGGGAAGCATGGCGTCCGACTGCACCGAGCGTCCCGCCTCGTCCTCGCTCTCCTCGTCGCTGCTGCTGACGCTCAGGTCCTCTCCTTGGCCATCTGGACAGTGGGAGTGGGGGCACCGGCAGCGAACGTAAGAAGGAAGCAACGTAGGCGGATCGCATAATGGGTGGAATAGAACGGACACACCTCCTGCGCAAACATCCGAAAACCTGGGCCACTGGGAGATGAAAATAAATTGTGAGGACTGCACAAGCCGTCCGAAGCATGTGCTAGCTCTTTAGGTAGCGCTTGCCAATAGGATGCCGTACTAGCGTGCAAGTCTCTGGATAACGTAAAGGGCCTTTCTTGTCCCTACCGCACAACCCAGTTCAGGGATGTCGTCAGTGGAAGTGTTTGGAGTCGCGTGTAACTGCGATGGGCAGTAGGCCGCATACCGGTATGCCGGGCGTTTGTGCACCAAGGTGGCAGGGGCTGTGCCGCACCCTTTCCACGCAGCACAGGAAGTAAGCTTCGGTGTTCCCTCCTTCCTAGGCGCGGAGGAGGGAGGGGGCTGCTCTGAACGTGTCCGTTGGTGCATTACGATCTCAAGGCTTCGGGGTGCACTGCGACTCGTCCGCATCCCCGCTGTAGTTGTGGCCGGGTAACCAAACCACTCTTTGGCAACTGGGCATCTTCGTTTCAGCAACCATCCGATTACAATTGCACTATCACAACTCCACTTTTACATGCATGGTAGCGCCGAACGCCTTGAGGGAGTTGCCCAAGGCCGCCTGGAGCACCGGCCGTCAGGGACTACTCAAACCAGAACCAGTGCAACGCGCTGCAATGTTTGTTTGCTCTAGTGTGGCACACCCGTGGCGAGCCCCTTGGTTGCATGCGCCGCCACGAGCCAACGCCCCTCTTGCTTAACGATGCATGGCCAAAACGAGGCCTGACTCTATGTACCGGCGAGCAATGCCCTTTTGAGCCTTGCAGGAATCAAGCCAGTTTCTGACCATAAGCCTCACAGCTTGCAGAAAACACAGCTTTACCTACTTTGCTAATGCGGGCAATCAACATCCATCAGCATGGCGCCGGCGCCTTTAATTCAACCCTACCTGCCAGAATCAAGGCCAGCCATCTTGCGAACAAGCAATCCAGCCCCAGTTTTGCCACCGGTAGTTGTGAGAACGCGCTCCTCCGCTATACTAATAATCGGCGTTTGGATTGTTGGAAAGAAACGGCTAACCACCGCTTTCTGTCTTTCCAACTGTCGGCGTCGCGGGGCGACGCCCGCAATCCGTTGCCTGCTACGTCAAATCTATGAAGGGGAGTGTGCTCAAGCACGCCTTTTCCTTTAAAACAGTAGCAGGACGAGGTATGTAGGTGTGCTCAGTCAATAGGTTAGCGCCAACTTGCATGGGAGCTTGCGCCCCAAAAGAGGAGTATACGCGGTCTTTGGCCCCTGGAAAAGCACAGGAACTACGTTATCCTCATGACCTTTCGTAATGTGACCTCATCGGAGGCCCATGCTGCCATGCCCGCAACGGCTGCAAGGATAACCACGGATGCATGGCCATGGCCATGGGTTTCCTGTAACCCCCTCCCGCACCGACATACCGCCCTGCACCAATGCGGCCCGCCACTTAGGTGTGCTCCGTGCCCCGCGCTGGCCCGTGCTACGCAGCCATGAGCGCCCTCGAAAGCAACCAGGGTGTTAGGCATGGTGCTTCCCTTAGCACTTCAAGTGGCCAACGATACTAAGTTCAGTGTGGTCAGTTCGAAAAGCGAAAGGAGGCCATTCATGCACTCTTTTTTCAGTATCCAACTGCTTCTTGCCGGTTTGCAGAATGTACATAGCGAGCAGGTACGCAACCAAGTTTGCTGCCGTCCCGTTGGATGCGCCTGCACGCAGCCGTACCCGCAAACCCTACAGACCTACCTTCGCTTTCCACGCGATCGGCCGCAGCCTCCTCCTCCTCGTCGTCGCTGCTCTCAGCAGCCTCCGCCTCTGCCTCCGCCGCTGCCGCCGCCGCCGACTGCGGGTGCCCGTGCCGCCACTTTACGTAGCTCTTCTTCAGCTGCAGGAAGCGACTGGAGCGCCGCAGCAGGTACGGGTCAAAGGGAAAGAACATCTCCAGCGGCCGCTGCGACCGCGTGGCGGGCTCCACTTGCGACAACAGCGGCCGGCAGTCCACGAGGCCCAGGCTGGACGCCTGGTGCACAAACTCCGCTGCCACCGACGGCAGGCACACCCCCAGCGGCCGCAGCTGCGGGTGGTTCAGCACCTGCCACACGGGGCCTCGAACCATCGCGGTCAGCGAGTCTGCCAGCTGCTTCCGCTCGTTGCCACCAGTCGCAGACGCTGCTGAGGCCGCTTGATGAGCTCCCGCCTGAGGCTGCTGCTGGGGCTGGGGCTGCTGCTGCGAGCCGACGATTGTGTGCATGTGGTAGCAGAGGACGTAGAGGACGGCCTGCACCGCGGCGTAGAGCACCTGGTGGCGCTGCGTCATGGAGATCTCGCCCTCGCTGCTCAGGCCCGCGTACGGCATCGACTCGGACAGCTCCGACGGGCCCGCGCTGGCCGCTGAGCTGGCCGCGCCGAAGCTGCCTGTCTGGCTGTTGCAGTAGTTGACGCAAAACGCGGCGAGTTCCTGCAGCGTCTTCACGACCAGCGACTCCGACAGGAAGGCCGCGCGGGCTAGGAAGGAGGCCAGGTAGGCAGCGCATGCGGCGCGGGTGATGGGGGGCTGCCGTGCATCACGCAGGCGCAGCAGCAGTAGCCGGATGAGACTGGCGGGGCAGACGGTGGGGTTGTGCATGCAGGTGTAAAACAGGAGGAACTGCGTGAACTTGGAGCGGTGGGTGTTGAGGACGGTGCGCTCAAAGGCGGACAGGAGCGTGTCCCACAGCCGGCGTAGCTCGCCTGGGGAAGCAAAGATGGCAAGGGGTGGTCGCTTTAAGGAAACCAGAGAAGAAGACGTTAAGCGTCTAGCAGCGAAGAATGCCGCCAGTTTGTGTCTTAGGAGGACACCCGCCGCATGGCCGGAACCCATATACGTCCAAAGCCCCTCACCGCTGCTATCTGACCCCGTCAACCGCACTCCCACCCTTGCCATTGTCAATTAACATTATGTTTTTACCCTCGCCCAACGCTCTCCCAAACTTGCCCAGGTGTGTCACCGCAGTACATCGCAGGTACCACACCCCAAGAACCATCCACGAGGGACCTCTACCCGCCGACCGCAACCCCATGCCCCCAAGCTGCCCGCCCCCACCTGCCGCGATGCGCTTGCCCAGGTGCTCGAACGCCAGCTCCATCATGCTGTCCATCTTGTTCGCCATCTCATCCACCGGGGAGCACGTCGAGGCCTGCTGCTGCTGCTGCGGGTGCTGCCGCCCGCCCGCCGCGCCCTCCCAGCCGCCGCGCCCGTCCCCTCCGTGCCGCATGGCCAGCATGGCCTGCCGCTGCGCCAGCTCCTCCGGGTCCGCGTTGATGTCCAGCTCACTGGCCAGCATGCCCTCCAGCTCGAATATGTCCTCGTTGGCGCCGTCGTCCTCGTCCTCATCCTCACCTGAGGGAAGCAGAGGGGCGTCCGCCATAGGATTCATATGAAAGGTAAAGCGTGAATTACAAGAGACCCATTTCGGCGTTTATGGGCACAGTACATCGCGTGGATTGCGGGCATAGCTCGCATAGGCAGTGCCGTTTTGACCGCCCCGTGTAGGAGCCATGCTGCTGGAACCGGGCCACCCGCACACCTCGGGACCCACCCGTGGGCACATCGGAAATGTCCTCCCACTTGATCTCCACGTCCAGCGACAGCAGGTGCTCCACCACCGCCGTCAGCAGCGCCTCCCTGATGGGCGCCCCCGACCGGTCCTCGGCAATGCGGAACAGCGCGGACAGGTACAGGCACTGCGTGTTGCGGTCGCGCAGCTTGTGCGGCATCTGAGCCACGATGAGCGGCAGCATGTTGGTGGGCGCGGTGGGCACCAGGCCCAGCAAGCGACTGAGGGAAGAGAGCAGGGACTGGTGCACGGTTAGCGCTTGTTCGGAGGGCCGCCAGGGGCCGAGCGGCTCCTGAGAGGGGTCGTCTGGTTTGGGCGGCCCCGGCGGTGGTGTGAAGCTATAGACGATGAGCTGCAGGCAGGTGTGCGTGAAGGCTGAGTTGGCCACGACCAGGGTGCGTGTGAAGTCCAGCACGGCGGAGAGGACCGCCTACGCGCGACAGGGAGACGGATCAGAAGAGCTTAGCGTAATGTGAGGGCATGGCTCTTTTGGACGTAGCGACAGGCGGCCCGGCCCAACCGGTGAAACAGCAAGGTAGGCAGCCCGCGGGACTAGGATGCAACACCCTACCGGCGCAGCATTCCAAAGCTTGATGCCCAGGACCTCTGAGACCAACGTTTCGTGCTTCCGTTCCCGAATCGCTGATACGTTAGACGCGATTGCACCGATGAGGGTGCTAAGCTGCATCGCTGCCTCCTCGTTGCCCGGCTCTTGTTCCACCCGAATCCGGCATTCTCGAAGCAGGGATTTCAGCCTGCAACACCGCGATGCAAATATCACATACGGTCATGGTTTGCAACCGAAGGAGCGAGCGAAGCAGCATGCGAAGAATGACCGGCGGCGCGAAGAGCACGGCCAACGGATCCCAAGTATATCTGGGCGTAATTGCATGGCCATCTCTGCGAGCAGCTCGTAAGTATACCGTCGCCTGCGCGAGTTGGCCTATAACAAGAAACTGACCCCCGAAAACGTAGTTACTCACTCCTCAAAGCTCTGGTTCCTTGTCAGGAGAGCTTCCGCTACATAGTTATTAAGCTCGGGGTTGCCTGCGGCACGGAGGGGTAAAGGCGTCACCAACGGTCACTAAGCCGGCGCTGCTCAGTCGATGGTTCTCACCGGCAGCCGATCGAGCCATCAGCTCTTGATATTTTTGCTCAGCACACCAACTAGGCCGCTATGTGGTGCTTAACGTGGTAAGCCGCTTCCAAACTGCCAGCACAAGAAGCTTTACGTGTTGCTTGCACAAAGTTAATGGCAGCAGGAGCACTCAACGAGGAATGGAAGGAAACGCAACTAGTACTATATTTGCATTATGAAATTTCATGGGCTATCGATGCTGGCTTATTTGGGCGGGCTCCGTACATCCCAAGGAAAAGGATCGTCTTTCCAAATTGTGTAGGCAAGCTATCGTGTGAACTAGGCTGCTCACAATATTACTGCAACTGCAATAATCGATACCCTGACTCATTAGTGTTACAGTACCCTGTGAGCTAACCGTGCTACGACCACGGCCATTGCAGCAAATTTTCCGTCCCCTACGAGCAGAGCACGTTGACACGCCCAAGTGTATGGAGGAGGACCTCTACAGCGGCATTGATGGAGGGACGACTGCCGAAGGTGAATGCCCAAACAGCATGATACAGTACCGATGGCAGCTGCAGCACAGAATCCCCTACCTCCGGGCCTTTCGAAAAGGCGAAGACTAACTCCATGGGCGGCAAACGTATTGCACACAGGCCTATATGCGGACTTGTTTGCGGAAACGGCAGTGTCCGGTCACCATGAAACGTACCTACAGCACAAAGTCAACGAGGTAAGTTTATGGTCTGTTCACTCTTAAGGGTGCATGATATGCTGTAGAGGTCGCACGGCAAGGTTGAGCCTCTGGGGTACCCTGGAACGGTGCGCAGTCTATTGGAGCCCCAGGCGGTGGTCATAACTCTATTGCACGAGACAGCGTGCTCTGCCAAATGCATCCACATGCTCGGATTGCCGTGTGGCCTTTGTCTGATGCCCTCACTGACCGGCGCTATGGTATCGTAACGCTGTCAGCTTTTTGACAAGGCGCAGCACGAGTCCAACAAAGTAAAGCAGTGTAACGTGTCGCATGGGGCATGGCCCACGGGTCACGCATGACCGCCTGCCCACGTACCCCCCTGTCCGCAGCTTGAGGAGTTGCTGCGGGAGCGCGAGGCTGAGCTCCAGGTGCTCAGATCCAAGCTCTGCGCACGAGACCAAGAGGCAAGTCCCCACGCAAACTACTCGTACCACTCGCCGTACCCACACCTGGACGGGGGCCCATGCGCCACACTAGGCTGGGTGCATGTGTCGTCTGTCAGGCTTTCTAGCCCTCGCCGTGACGGGAGCGCTTCCTCGGGATCACAACTGCATGTGTCATGCTGTCCTGTACTGTCATGCGATATGAATTGCACGCCATGCACCCGTCCACCCAGCACCCCACCTAGTCTCCCTGGCCCCACTAAACCCATGTATCCTGCCAATCCGCGCCACCCCCCAGCTTGCCAAGGTAGCCGCGGAGCGCGACACCCTGCTCCGCAACATCTCCTGCCTCTTCAACACCGCCAAGGAGGAGATGGCACGCAAGCAGGCGGAGATCAACACCCTGCGCGCCGAGCTCGCCCAGTGCAGCCATCAGCATCCGCAGCAGCAGCATCTACCGCAGCAGCAAGCGGGTACATGCCTTCCTCGCCAGCATGGGTCTGGAGACTCCATGCGGCCAGGCCCCCATGTCGCACCGCCCCAGTGGGCGCGTGACAGCGGCAGCCAGCCGGTCAGGCCGCACCAACCGCCGCAGGAACCTCCCCGGCCCCGGCTAGAGGGTCAAGAGGCAGCAGCCGACGCCGCTGGTCGCAAGCGCAGCAGAGACGGGAGCGAGGAGAGGGAGCTGCAGCAGCAGCAGCCGGCGGATGGACACTGGCGCAGCAGGCCGCATGCGGAGGACAGCGGCAGCAAGCGGTCACGGTGCGATGGCTATGGAGCGGAGGCATCAAGAGGGGCTGCTGCGGGTGCTGAAAGGAGCGCTGGTAGCGCCAGTCCTGGGCATGAGGTGCGCAGGAGCGATGGCGGCCTACGGCGATCAGCGATGGCCGATCGGAGTGAGCCCGGCTACCGGGCTAGCTCGGGTGGCGGCAGCAGCAGGTCGGATGTGACGATGTGGCGGCGGGACACCTCGGCTCCGCGTGACCTGGGGCCGGATGGACGATGCAGCGAAGCTGGTGCTAGTGGGGAACTCCGCCGAGACGAACGAGGCAGCGAGCTCCGCCGGGACGAACGAGGCAGCGAGCTCCGCCGGGACGAACGAGGCAGCGAGCTCCGCCGGGACGAACGAGGCAGCGAGCTCCGCCGAGACGAACGAGGCAGCGAGCACCATCGCTCCCGGGAACGTGAGGAGAGGTGGGAGGCAGAGCGCAGTCGGGACAGGCGCCTGGAGGGTCGTGACCCAGATCGTGGAAGCGGGAGGGAGGTAGAGCGTGGGCGAGATGAGCAACGAGAGGGAAGGCCGGGGCGGGAAAGTGGTTGGGAGACGGAACGGGGACGGGAAAGGTACAAGGGAGGCTGTGACCCACGGGACAGTTGGCGCCCTCGTGATGACGGACGACGGACTGGTGACCCAGATCGCCGCTGACCGGGATCCCCAAGCATCTTAACGCGTCCAGGGTCTCGCAGTATCCAAATGTTGGGCATTTGCATGTTGGAGGGAACGTGATGCAACAGCAAGGCGCGGCGTGGTCATCCATGATGTGCGGGGTTGTGACCAGGGTTTACGGGTGTTCGATCGGACAGACAGCTCCAGACGCATGCTGGCTTCTGAGCGGTACAGACTTCAAACCATGGCAGTCCTAAGCGCAGCTTGTAGCAGTTAAGATGGACCCACAGGTGTTGATATTTGGCTGTGGTGCGGGAAGGCCTTGAGGGGGCTGTCGCCTGGTGGCCAGCCCTTGCTGCAGTTGGCTCTAATTGTTGAGTAGCCGTGATTGTACCCGTCACTATGTACAATTGAGGTGGCGTTTTCCCGCGCCATGTATGTGTGGAAAATGTACCCAACGGCACCGGTCGCTAAAGCGTGGGAAAAGCCGGTCCGGGCGTAGTGTAGTTGGGACACGCCCTGGAACACCTTGCAGTGATGCCTAGTACTACCATTTGAGACGGCTGACGGTTGCGAGGAACGGTTCAATGCAGGTCGTATGGACGTGGCATGCACTCTACACGCGATGCATGTGTCGTGTAAAAGCCAGGACGCCAGGATTGTAGCAACAGCATTGTGTTTGCGAAGTGAATACCGGTACGGACTTCGTGTGGGTAGCCAGGCGCAACACCCTTGGACTCATGGGCGGCAAAGCGTCTAGCTAGCTTGCTTGATATGTATGGCATGTTACCTGCACTGCACAACCGAACGCTGATGGTGGATTAGCGGCCGCGTACGTAATCCCACGCCCGTCTTACAGTCGTCATGCCCCCATCCGCAATGCAGCATTAGCCTTCCCGTGCGGGCGGCCCTATGACACAACACTGCCGCTGGGTGCGTGCAACATGCACGTGTGCTACGCCTTTAGGGGTCAGTAACCGTTGCAGACGCCCTTTACATAACGACCTCTTGGCAGAGCTGTAACCGGGAGAACGCGCATGCAGCAGCATGGATTATGGAATGATGCCGTTACCGGTAGGCGAATGGCTGGATGGCTGAGGTGGTAAATGGGCACAGGAACTATGTACTGTGTCTCCCACGAGCGCGATGCGTGCAGCCCATTGCTGCCCTGGTGCTGGTCTCCGCAAATAGGGGTGAGCAAATGCAGCCTGCCTTTGAAACGGTCCTCCATCCCGCCCTGAGCTACACCATCTTCGCAGCCACACCAAAGCCATCCCCTGCATCACCACCCCTTCATCCTTCCTACCTCGTCAGGAACATGAACACGAGGGGAAGGCCAAAAAATGTCGCTCGGCGACGGTAGGAGTGCCAGTCTACTAGGTCAACTGCGCAAAAAAGCGAAAAGAAGAGCAGATCGCGGGTTTGGGGTGACAACGGTGCGTTATATACAGAAAGCCAACGGTGTGTAGAGGGGGGGGGCACGCGACGGGGCTATGCGCATGCTTAGGTTGCAACGCCGAACCGCAAAGGTATGCCCTCGGTTTCATGTGTTGGCACAAGCTCGTGTTTGCATGGTTACTTTCATCTGGGTCGGCAAGTTGGGACATCATTGGCATGAAATGAGCTAGTTCCAAGCAGTTCAGCTACAAAGTAAATGACATAAACAACAATTTAACAATGAAGGCTATCTACAGGCACTCTTGTGCGCTGGAATACCGGTAACCAGTTTGGCTCGAACATTGGCGACCCGACCTTGCGTCCGAACACCTTTATACACCAATGTGTTAAATACACCGAAAGCGATACCTGCTATTAGAAACTTGCATGGGTCCATACAGAATTTGAGCGAATGGGCGAGGGGCGCAAGGGTACGGTGCCGGTACGACAGCTGTCGACTAAATTGAATAACAATTGTTGCGTCGCTGAATTAACCTGTGCTGACAAGCTCTCCTATATGCACGTATGCTATGTATATGACCTCGTGATTTTTATTTAAGACCTTTGACCGGAGAGGCTGCTTGCTCATCCCCCTAGCCAACGACACCTCTCAGAAATCCTTCAACCCCGTATGGACCCAACGCAGTAGACTTTTAAACCGGCGAACTTCGGCTAGAGGTGCAACGTAGCAGCCTAGTTCCGCCCTAACCTTGCTGACCGTCATGAATCAGCAATACAACCGTGCGGGGTCGTCCTTCGGCGTGCAAGCTCCGCCGGTGACTTACTCCCAAGAACTCCTGTTGAGCCACTTGTCCAAGAATAGCGCGGCGAGCCAGCAGGTTGGACGGTCGTCCTATCATGGGCCAGCAATGCCGGAGTCCAACCAAGCTTCTATTAATGCAGGATGTCAGCAAGGGCACATCGACAGGGAGGGTTATGCTGGCAGACCTTACCAACAATGGGCAGAGCCTGCAGCGGACGGTGAGTCTTCCGCTGACCACCAACCACCTGAGCATCAACGCTGATAACGAAAGCGACAAACAAGCTAATTTAGCAAAGCTATTTCATATACTTCGCAGGCCGACCGGAAGGCGCTGTCCCAATTGAGTGCTCAGCCCACATCATTCAGTCAGCCTCAGAGGTCGCAGCACAGCTATGCGCCCTCAATCCCTCACGCTGCCTTCTCTGACCCGCGCATTATCGATGGGGTCCGGCAGTCAGGTATGCCGCTGCGTTGGTTTTGGGACTTCGGGTGTCCGTTGTTGATGACGTATACGGTATTTGCAGGCGAGAGGAAGAAGGCCTGGATTGACGTGGATGCGCTTAACCACGATGATCCCCAGGCTGTAAGCCATTACGCTTGCAGCATCTTTGAGTACCTGCGCGAAGCTGAGGTAGGGCATGGCCCCGGGGTTACCCTTTACGACCAGGCATTATATTAGCAGTCCTGACACCCAGGCGTGCCCATTTTGCAGCTGTTGCGGCGTCCCAACCCCGACTACATCTCCACCCAGCCGGAAATCAACTCGAAGATGCGCACTATCCTTGTGGACTGGCTGGTTGAGGTGTCGGAGGAGTATCGCATGGTCCCCGACACCCTGTACTACGCGGTGAACTTCCTGGACCGCGTGCTCAGCGTGCAGCGCGTGGCGCGATCCCAGTTGCAGCTCGTAGGCATTACTTGCATGTGGATTGCTGCCAAGTACGAGGAGATCTATCCGCCGAACGTCAGCGAGTTCTCGTACATCACGGATAACACGTACAGCCGCGAGCAGCTTGTCGCCATGGAAGAGGATATCCTCAAAAAGCTGAAGTACGAGCTGACGGTACCCACCGCCAAGACCTTCCTGCGTCGGCTGCTCCAGGTAAGCACCATCAATGGATGTTCCACATGCTGTTCACGGTTCAGGCGATGGGAAAGCATGCTAGACACGTAATGGCACGTCACAGTATTGGCTCTCCGCTGCTGAATCAGAACCCAAATGCCCACAAGCTGTTCGGACACTCTGTAACCTATATCCTGCGCGCAGGTTTGCAACCCCGATGACCAGCTACACTTCGTGTCCAACTACTTGACGGAGATTTCGCTGATGGAGGCTTCCATGCTCAACTTCCTGCCAAGCGAGATTGCCGCGGCAGCCGTCTACCTCGCCAACCTCATCCTGGCGCGCGCCCCATGGTCCCCGACCCTGGAGCACTACTCGTACTACACGCCAGGGCAGTTTGCGGACTGCGTGGAGGCGCTCGCGGAGCTCCACATCCAGGTCAACTCCCGAGCGCAGGGTGGCGAGCTTACGGCCCTGTACGACAAGTACAGCCACAGCAAGTTTCTGAGCGTGTCGCGTGTCAGCCCGCTGCCCATGACGGTCGTAAGCCAGCACCTGGCCATGATGATGAGCGAGAACAGCACGAGCATCGTAAGCGCTCGCGGCTAGCGTGGTGGGCTTGGGCCCTGGATGGCTGCTTGGGGCGACGTGACATAACCTGTTGCATTCAACACAGTGACGGTGCTGCTCCTAGGTTACGGGGTAGACATATGAGTAACCTAACATGTTAGTGGCTAGTTTCGTGATGCGTGATGACGGATAGATTTACCAGCGACGATTCGCTAGTGAGATACCAATATTTTGTCCTTCACATATATAAGGGGAAGGGCCATGCTCTCAACGGTGCGCTGCGCTGCTTGAAGTTTTGACTTTTAGAAGACAAGAAACTAGACGAATGTGTGCTGTTTTGGACTCCTGCGACCTAAAGGTCCAAGTGTTGACGGACGGCTGACAAGTCCGCACGTACGACCAAGTGCGTCAATCTTTTTTACATATGCATTCTTTGCGCAACTCGCTACTTATAATGTACTTCCTCTTTTCGTGTATCTCTGTAGAGACGGGGAGACTGGATGTCATGCGCCGGAGAGCGTGCATGCAATCGTTTGTGCCCTTGCAATCCCAAGCCATACCCAGGCCTGGTGTGTAACATGGGGCCGTGCGTTTCGACTGTCAATGACGAAGGATATGAACTGATGGTGACGAAGCATTAGAACTGGGTCTAGGCATCATAAGAGGTTACGACGTTTTTTGTTACAATGGCCCCATCCCAGAAGTTCCGTCCCTTTCGTGCGCAAGCCACAATCATCCACAAGCTAATTTAGCACCTTGGCGCCAAGAGTCATAATGCCTGTACCACCTCCGTCCAGGCACTTATGCAGCCAAATCCTACGTAAACGTGGTGCCTATAGAATAGGACCAAGAGTTGGTTGACGGCTAACTTGTGCGTGTCATTGTTATGGAGCGACCCATGGGTCAGTAACGGTGCATACGCAGTTTGTCTAAGCGCCCCTCAAGAGGCTATTATTAGCCTTTCCAGGCCACACTCTAGAAGATGCCTAGAACATGTACCAGTGTGCCTAATGACGCCGTTTTCACCTACCATTTAAAAAGAAACATGCTCTACACTGCAAAATCTCTACTGTTACGCGCAGCTAAAGGCGTCAGTCACACAGTCTACCGGTATGTGCACACAAACCGTCAAGCATAAGCCCCAAGCCCCCAACAGTGCACCTAGCCTTCACCCAGCACCCCATAACCCCACTCTACGGTAGCCAGGTGCCCATTGCTGCAGTGTTTGGCTTATTAGCACGGTCGACACCGGGGCTTGCACGTCGGGCGTGCTGTACGGCGTTTAGGCTGGCGCGTGAGGGCTCAGGGGAGATGGACCGGCGGCGGTTTCCGCCACCGCCGCCTTGGTCGGTACTCTGGGCGGGGTACGGCGGAAGGTTGATGGGCGGGGACGGCGGCGGCTGAGCTCCGGTTGCCACTCCACCCGAGCTGCGTTCATGTTGAGCTGCCTGCGGCGGACCGTTGCTGCCGTGGGCGGTCGCAACGGCTTCCTTCTCAAACATAGGTTGGCGCGGAGGTGCAGTCCTCTTACTCTCGTCAAATGGCGTGAGCGACGACGGCACATGCAGCGTGACAGGCGTGGCGGTCGCAGTGCTGGGGCCGGACGACGCCTCATCCAGCTCTCCCTCCGTGGCCGCACTGGCCGAGGGCGAGTGAGTTGCGCTCCGCCGGGCCGAAGCCGGCCGGCGCACGCCGCTGGCAGTGGAGGTGGTCGGCGATTTGGAGGCAGGCCGCCCGTTAGCAGAGCTCGGCCGCAGGGTCGACCTGCTGCGCCGGTCAGCTGCGCCTGCCGCAGTGCCGGCCGCTGATGACGCGCCCGCCGCCGCCGCGGGAGAGGCCGCCGCAGCTGCCATACCCGCGGCCAGGCGGTGGCCGGGGACAGCACCACCCGCCGCCGCCGCCGTGTGCCGTACGTGCGCGGCTGCTTGGAGGGCAACTGCCTTGGCGGATGAGGAGGCGGTGGGGCCCACATGACTGGGCGGCTGGGCGGGGCCGCGTGCAGGCGCCGGCTGTGTGGCGTGCGGCTGGGAAACACCTCCACCCTGCACGGATGGGTAGGATGCGAGCACAGCATGACGTCTCTAGAGCTCCCTCTGCACCGTTCTCCCTACACAGCACAGATTTGCCACAGATCTCGTTACAGACTCTTATAAGCAAACGACTCCTAGACGTCCTAGTCCTCGTGATTTCCCCAGCCACACGCACACTCCAGGCCACGCTACCGGTGCCGGTTCCTCCCCACAAGCCCTCACCCGCGCCAGCCTCTCCACCAGCGCGGTCATCTCCGCCTGCTGCGCCGCCACCTGCGCCTGCAGCTGCTCCACCTGACCCTGCAGCTCCCCGCGCCGCTTCACGACTGCAGCGCGCTTCTGCCGCTCCGCCTGCATGCGGCAGCCAGTGGCGCATGAGATAGGGTCGGGCGACCAAGCTCAAGCCGCCACAACCACAAGTAATTCAGGTAAAGAACCCTCTAGCCCTTGCATTCCCAACCCAGAAGCTGTGGCTCAGACAACCCACTGGTCCAAGTCCGCGGCACGGCACCCTTCCAAGGCAGCAGCCCCACCCCAAATACCCACATTGCCATTTCCACCACGATCCATCACGCCTGGCCGGATGGCTCCGGAACCGCCTGCCCGCTGCACCCCTCCCTCCCTCCCTCGCCCCCCACCTTGAGCTGGTCCCTCAGCGCCGCCAGCTGCCCCTCTATGGCCGCATGCGTCTCCCGCAGGTGGCCCGTGAGCTCCTGCTCCGCCCGCAGCACCCCCTGCAGCTGCGACTCCAGGTCCGCCTTGTCCTCGGCCAGCTGGGAGGCGGTGGCGCTGGGGGGAGGGGCAAGCGGGTGGGTGGCAATGGTGGGTGGTGGGCGGGTTCTGGACAGCCCCGTTGCAGGATTGCATGGAGCTCCAGGATTGGAAGAATTGCGTAGTGGACCCGTCTTCCCAGACCCCGGGAGGTGCAGCGAAAACCAGCATGGTAGAGCCGCCTCCAGCGCCACGCCTCCCATGCAGTGAACCTTCGCCACACCCCACCCCAGCCACCCTCGTTCGCACTCACGCCTGCTCCTGCAGCTGCTGGCGAAGCGTCTCAATGACGGCAGCCTGCTCCGCAATGAGGGCATCGCCGCGTGTACGGCACTCGGTGGTGACCGACAACTGCGTAGAGGTGGGGAAGGCAGGGGGCGGTGGCCGTGACCCCATGCGCACGTGTGTACGGCGTCGACGCCCCATCGCAGCCCTTCGCCGTTGCCGCACAGAGCGGCCGCGGCTACCCATGGACGAGGGACTTGCCAGTGGGGCTATAGCACCTTGTCACTACCCCGCCTGCACAGCACTGCAGCACCCTCACCCCAACGTGCACCCTCGCTGCCCATGCGAGTTACATGCAAGCTCACAACACGCCCACTTGCCCCTCCACCGCCACTTCCCCTCCCCCTCGGCACCCACCCACCTGCTCCGTGAGCTGCCTGACCTGCTCCGACAGCTGCGCCACCTGCTCCGCCAGCCCCTGCTTCTCCCGGCTGCTGGCCTCCAGCGCCTCGCGCGCCTGAGACAGCTGGCCCTGCGGCGAGGGGGCGGGGAGGGGGCGGACAGGGCTCTGCTAGGGCACAGCGGGATCAGGGGTATGAAGAGCGGATACATGGAGTGATCCGGGTAGTTCCTAGCCCCATTGTCTTGCCCCAACCTGTGGTTTCCTATGGTTCGGTATGGTCTTTGACCCCCACCCCGCACCCCCACCTGCAGCGACTCCGTGACCACCTGTACGGCGGTGCTCAGATGCTCCGAGCTGTGCAGCCGCTGGTGCAGCTGCGCCGCCTCCTCCGCCTGCGCCATCAGCTGCGACCGCTCCTGCAGCACCAGCTGCTGCAGCCGCAGCCGCTCCTCGGCACCCGCCTTAAGCTGCCTGCGGGAGGGGAGGGCAGGGGAGGGAGTGCGGCGTATGGGGGAGAGCAGGGGAAACGGGGCTCTTCAGCAGAAGGCGGCGGACGCCGGAAGGATAGTGGCGATGGCATGCGGGCAACACAGGGCTAAGCAGCCTCTGCGCATGGCGCTAATGCCATCTCCGCGCGCATTGTGAGGTGTGCCGCTTCCCTCCCGCACATGCTGCTGCCGCGCGCGAGTGCGCTGCTGGCTGCTGCTGGCCCCACATGCGCACTGCCTCTCCCGGTGCACCCCGCACGGCGCTCACGTGAGCAGCAGCTGCACCAGCTCCTCCACCTGGCTGGTGGACTGCGCCTGCTTCATCAACACGTCGGCCGCGGCCTGGGAGTGGCCTGGCGGGCGGGGTGGGAGGAGGAGGAGGAGGAGGAGAGGCAATGTGGGGGGAGGCAAGGGGTCAGTCATGTGGGCGTCGCCGCCAGCCTGGTTTGCTGGGTAGCCAGCGAAGGATGCAGAGACGTACTTTTCATTGTGCCGTACAGCAATTTCCATTTCCGCTCGAGATTTTGTACGCTGTGCTGGTCGTTGCCGTGGACGGTAGGAGTTGGGTGTGGGCTGTTGTTGACGAATGTTAGCAGGCGTGCCGCAGAGGTGGTTCTGATGCTCTGAGTGGTAGCGGCTGGGGCAGGCGACGCGGCTGCCTGTGCAATCCGCAGCCGATAGGCCGCTGCCAGCGCTGCAGCATCCATCCTGTGTACAGTATTCTCATCAGGTAGAGTGCTGCTGGGAGAAAGAACGATTGGCTGTTGTTGCTCGACAGGCTGTAAAACCCCTGTTGACTGAGGAACTTGCTGTGTAGTCAACGAATCTTGCTGTGCTAACATATTCCTATGATATGCAAGGTGCAGAGGATTAGATATCTGGAGTTAGCAGTGTGGCAAGCCTTCTGAACTTACTAGGATGAGGTCCAACAGCCTATGGCATCTAGTCTGATAGCATATAGAAAGTTCTCTTACTTAGCTGTGCCGTCGCCTCCTCAGTCTAGCTGAAATGAATGGCTTCGAAACCAAGGGTTGCGCATTGGCGGTAACCATAAAACCGCTCTGGAGCGAACGTTTCATGATCTATAACAAAAACGTATTCAGCGAGAGTTATAATGGTGGCTGACACCCAGACGGTCATAGACTTAACGTCATGGGTAAGTTGGCATTGCAGGAGCGATGGGATTCTGCACCCTGCGCCTGCGCCAGGGCCAAGATGTTCCTGGACGCAAAGAATGGAGAGGACCTGGCAGACCGATGTAACACCTTGCTTTGTGCAGCTTGGAGCCAAGAACATAGCAAGGACAAAAATGCGAGCGTACCGGTATGTTTCCCAACCACGCCACTTCGAAGTATATTACTGCCATCGTTTCCATTATACAAATCCGAGCACCACGCACCGTGGGCTACCCGTCCGGCCGCTGTGCATCATCTACTCCAGCACTCCCCTGCACGGCACGCCGCCACGTCGGCGCTGCAGCTCCACCGGGCGCTGGGAGGGAGGTGTCAAAGCGTGGTAGTATGGGCACGCGTGGGAGGGGTAGGGTTCATGGTTGAGAGGAGAGCTGACGGCGAGGAGGCACGAAGCGAACATGGCAAAGATTTCCACCGTGGAGCTCCATCTCCGGCCGTAACCCTAACTAGGTGCTGTTGGCTTGCCTTGCTCGTAACGTTTTACGAGGGTACAGAAGCATTACGGTATGCAACCCCGACCGGTCAACAGCAGCCCTCGCATCTTCCACGTTGTCGTCGTGCATATCCTGCACGATCCTTGTGTCATAAAACACACCGAACGTCCCTACCTGCCGTTTCCCGTTTGTGAGGACCGAGTTGCAACCAGCACCCTTTCACCCCACACATTCGCAAGCTGCGCCCCGAGCCTCGCCGCACCCAGACGGTTGCGGAAGCCCTACCGCGGGGCACCCGACTTTCCTCCTCCTCCTCCTACTCCTCACCCGCAACCTGCCAACCGCCTCCCAACTGGAAACCCACGCCTTGCCCAGCTGCAAGAGGTGGGTGGAGTGCTAGGACTGCAACCCAGCTTAGCATTAGTTTGTACGCAATACCACTAAACCTCTGCCGTTGCAAGACAGTGATACTCAAAGAGGCAACCTAGGGGCACGTTTGCCCGCCAAGTCTTACGGAAAGGGGAGCTATAAACCTATAGTAAACCTATCTGGTCGCCTGCATACACACACAAACCCACACCACCTGCGAATTCCTCTACGGCAATGCCGCCAAGCATCATATTCACATAGCTTGGCCGTACATCAAGTGAGAGGGCATGAATCGTCCCGATATCCCGCGCCCTGCATGCCCGTGTCCGCTCTACCGGGCCCCACATAAGCCCCCACGTGCACGGGTGCGCGGGGCACTGGGCGCTATTATGGCCCATACCCCTTTGCGCCACTTCATGCCGCTCACTTCGAGCACGCTGCAGGAGCGGGTTGCCGGCCGGCGCGGGTCCTGGCGCTGTGGCACACCACACTTTGGGCGAGCCAGTTGCAACATGTCACGGCCCTGCCAGCACACCCGAACCGCCGGCTCTGCTTTGACTTGGCAGTGCAGGCAGGCTCTGATCAGGTGGCTGATGACCTAATGGACAAACGGAAATCAAGTGCGCCTAACCCTAGCACCTCACTTGCCTTGCCCGGGAGGATGGCATGGGGTGGAGGGGGAGGGGGGACTCGCGACTATGCTCGAGTATGGGCTACGGATGGGACCGGTGTCGCCACCATGGCCACACCGCCTGCCCCTCAGCGCATGCATTGTCGCCCCCGTCTCACGCAACCCCTCCTTCCCCCCTCCCTCCATCCTCCCTCCCTCACCCCAGCAGCCCCCCGCCCAGCTGCTGCTGTACCACCCCGCACACCACCTCCACCGCCTGCCGCACCCGCCCATTGGGCACCAGCAGCCACAGCGGTGCACCCGGACCCGGGCCGCCAGCCGCCGCAGGGCGGGGCCCCGGGCCCGTGTGTGCCGCCGCCCTGCCGCCCACACTGACCACCACCTCCGGCCCCAGCCGCGCAGGCACCAGCTGCTGCACCGCTCGCAGCAGCGCCTCGCCGGGGCCGCCGGCAGCTGGCGCACCGCCGGAAGAGCCGGAGGCGCCGGGCTCGGATTTGATGGCGCCGTCGGGTGCGGGTGCGGAGGGCTGTGCGGAGATGCTGAGTTTGATGTAGCTGCGGCCCACGGGCAGACACATGAGGTCCAGCAGCAGGGCGACACCGCCGGGGGCGCGGCTGTGGGGGGGAGCGAGATGGGGTGCGAGATGAGGAGGGATGCGGCAAGGTTCGGGAGCTTCCTAAAGCCTGAGCTAGCTCTTAGCGTGTAGAAGCAATGCGAGCAGCGGAACAGCACAAGCAGTGCGGAGCGTTATGCTGGCCGCACACGCGCCACTCCACCCCGCCTGTACACGCAGTCAATTCGTTGTATCCTTTTTACCCCCCACCCGCTCCCCGCCTCCCACCCCACCTGACGATGATGCGATGGCAGAAGGGCGGCTGGTGTGCCGCCAGCCGCATCTCCACCTCGCCAGCCGCCCTCGTCTGCTGCCCCCCCTGCCCCTGCCCCTGCCCCCCCTGCAGCAGTGCCGCCAGCGCTGGCGGCTGCACGGGTGCGCAGAAGCCCGCCAGCGGCCAGGCGGCCAGGGCCAGCGCATCCAGCAGCTTGCCCTCCTCGCCCGCCTCAGCGTACTCCTGGGGGAGGTGGGGGAGGGGAGTGGGGGGGAGGGAGCGGGAGCGGGTGTTGCTGGGTGATGGGAGGGGCAGGAGGCACGGCAGGGCAGTCAGGAGGGCCAGCATGCCCAGCCTAGTCGTATGGGCCAAGCCCTTGCAGCGGCAAACCCACCTCCACCCGGGGGGGGTCGCCAACACCCCACACCTTAGGTCCCCCCACACAAGAACCTTTCTCCACCCGGCCTCCCTCCCTCCCTCCCTCCCTCCCTCCCTCCCTCCCTCCCCGCTCCCGCACCTCCAGCGCATGCAGGAACTCCGGCGGCAGGAAGTGGCCCCCGCTGCTGCTGCCCCCGCTGCTGCTGCCCCCGCTGCTGCTGCCCCCGCTGCTGCTGCTCAGGCTGCACCGCACCACATCGCCCAGCCGCCCGGCACCGGAGGAGGAGGAGGAGGTGGGGCCCTCTCGGGCAGGCGGGGAGGGCGCAGCGTAGCCCCCTCCAACAGGCAGAGGGGATGGAGCAGGTGGGGAGCCGGGCAATGCCGGGGTGGGTGCAACCCCAGCCATTGCCGGAGTGCCGCCACCGACACTGGTTGGCGATTGCGGCGGGGAGGCTGGAGCCGTTGCCGCTGCAGCTGTTGCGGTTCCGTAGAGGTGTCGTACATCCCGGGGGGCCCATGTGACCCGAACCTGCAGCACATCCGAGGCCTCCCTCGCGTCGCTGCCACCCGGGCAGCGCACTCCACCATCACTTTGTAACTGCTGCTGCTGTTGCGGTGGCGGCTGGTGCCTGCTATGTGCATGAGGCAGTAGTGGTCGTGAGGCCGCCGGGTCGCCCCGCGGCACCCCCCCTCCTCCGCTGCTGCTGCTGCAGGGGCTGAAGCGGAGGGTCGCAGCGCTGCAGCTGTACTGCTCCAGCGTGAGGCTGCCCACCAGCGGCCAGTGCCAGGACAGCCCGCCCGGGCCCGCAGCAGCGGCAGGGTGGTGGGGGGCGGAGGCGCCACCACCGCACATGTGAGCCGGTGCTGCAAGACCACCACCACTGCCACCACTACCAGCAGCAACAGCACTGCCGTTGCCGACGCAGCTGACGGGAGCGCCCCCACCAGGGAAGCCGTTCGCAAGGCCCGTGTGGCTGCCGCCGGGGTGGCACCCTGCCGCCGGCCAGCCGCCCCCGTTCTCCTTCCCGTAGCCGTTGGCCCCCACTGCCACCTCCTCCGCCGCACCGGGCTCCGTCTTGATGCGCTTGGCGGGCGGACCCCCGCCCCGGGCGTAGCTGCCCTCGCCACCGCCGTACGGCAGCGCGCCCGCCCCATGAGGCGGCGCGGTGGGATTGGATGCTGCCGTGGGGTGATGCCGCTGCGGCGGGGTGGGCCCAAGCGCGCAGGCGGCGCCTGCCAGCGATGCCGTCAGGGCTGTCAGGTGCTGCGGCCTCAGACAGTGCCCCGACCGCCCGCCAGCCCCTGCCCCTGCCGCGCCCACGGACAGCACCCCCCCAGCGCCGTCAGCATCAGTTCCCGCAGCGCCGGCGGCGGCCTTTGCGGCGGTGGGCACTGCGACGAGCACGTCAGGTGCCATCATCTCCAGGCGCGCTAGCAGCGTCTGCACTCGGATGATGGCGCACACCTCCTGCACGATTGTCAGCGCCGAGTCGCCCCGCTCCAGGCAGTACTGCCGCCGGAGGCACACCGGACCCCCGCTGCCACCCCGGCTTGAGGCGCTGCTGACGCGCGAGGTGGCATGCATGTCCAGCACGAACCCAGCTGTCGCGCCGGACTTGCCGCCGCCACCGCTGGACGGCTCCACTGGAACGCAGGTCGGGGAGCAGAGGAACGTGCCGTACAGCCGCGCCGTGACCTGACCCGCCAACGCATCCGGTCCCAGCTCCAGCTCCAAACACACCGGCCCCACGCGGGCTGGGGATACCCCCGGCCTGCGCGCAATGGCGCACGGCAGGGACATCCCCGCCAGCCGAGTGACCCGCAGCCGCTGGCAGGGCGGGTGGCTCTGCTCGGTGTATGCCGCCCCCAGCGCCCCCAGCTGCACCAGCAGCACCTCCCACACCATGCGTCGCCGGCACCAGCGAACCACGCTGCTGAGCTGCTGCTGCGCCAGCATGACGGCAACCAACTGACCCGTGGGTCGCCCCACGTGATGGGTCGCCCCTGCCCCCGAACCCGGGCTATTGCTGCTGCTGCCGTTGTGTTGGGGAGCGGCTCCCGACAGGGAGGTGGGTTTGCCGGGGGTGAACGCAGCCGGCTGCTGCGGCGAGGGCGACGCAGCGGAGGGATGGGAGGGGTTCCCGGCTCCGCAGCCTGTGGTGGTGGTGGCGGTGGCTGCTGCCATGCCAGCCGAGGAGTCCCGAGTGGGTGAGGCGTCCGGCGAGCGAAGCATCCAGTGGTCCTGGCTGTGACCCGTGGGTCGGGGACTGCTTGCACCGCTATAGAGGACTGAGTGGACGCTGTGGGGATTATGCTGCTGCTGCTGTGGATGCTGGTGGAGGTGGTGAAGGCCGCTGCCGTACGACGACCCGGTGCCTCCGCCTCCGCTGCTGCTGTTGTGGGTGTGGCTGTTGTTTCCTGCGTGGCTGGTGCTGTGTCCGTGCGAGCATGCAGCCCTGTAGGCCGCCACCACCTCGTCGGGCAGGAGGTAGGCGCTGGAGGGCACCGGGATGCAGGACAGCACCTGTGCAGGAGGAGGAGGGGAGGGGAGGGGAGCTGATAAAAAGCACTGTGTGGCACTTCAATGGAAGCCATTGTGTCGTGCTGATTACATATGCGGGATGGAGCAGTGTCGCTGTGTGCTGAAGATACGTTCCAAACAGCGTTGTGGGATCTCTGGGAACCACAGCACAGCAACCATCAATAACACCAATGCAGATCTGAAGCACACAAAGCAATAATGACGCCGTGCGAACATGCATGCATTCCTTCATGCATGCATCCCACCCAACCGCCCACCACACCCCGAAGCACCTCCCCGCTGGCCCCGGCCCCCTTGCACCTCCCCCACCTCCATCCTGTCCCCCACCTTTACAGGCATGAGCTGCTTGTTGCATGCCGCCACCACCATCACATGGCTGGAGGTGAGCGACAGCCGGGACTGCAGCAGGAAGGCCAGGCACTGCGGGACGCGCAGGGGCGGCGTGTCGGGGGGGACCGGCTCCAGGGGCGGGAAGTGCGGCGGGAAGGGGGGCGACTGCAGGGCCCAGGTGGCCACCTTGTCGCGGGGACGGGGCTCGATGGCTCTGGGAGAGGGGAGGAGGGGAGGGAGGGGGGGAGGGAGGCGGAATGAGAGTGAGTCTGGAGGAGGGGCGAATCAGCAGAACATGTGAGCACCCTTAGCAGGAACTTTACTCACAACCGCTGAATCCGTAGCCCCGCATGCTGCACTCCACCCACCCTTGTTCCATCCGCCCCCGTGCCATCCTCCCGTTTCCCTTGTTCCCCCTACCTCCACTCTCCTCCTCTTCATCCCCCGCCCCCTCTCCCCCTAGCCCCTCCCTCCCCCCGCCCCCACTCACAGTCCCGGATGCGACCCCGCAAACGCCTCCAGCATCCCCCGCGGCAGGCGGCTGATGTGCAGCGAGGCCCGCCGCGCCGCCTGGAAGAAGTGCGTCACGTCCGTGCTGTTGTGCACGCGCAGCAGCACCTGGCTCAGCGCGCGAGCAGCCTCCCGCAGCGCCCGGGCGGCGGGGTAGGTGTCGGGCGAGGCGGAGGAGTAGGCGGCCGCCGCCACCTGGTTCACAAAGTCCTCGTCCTGCAGGGGGCAGGGGGTGTGTGGGTGGGAGGAAGGAGGGGTGAGGAGGGCGGCAGTTCAGTGACTGTTGCCATGACAAGGGCAACGGCACTTTGGGACCACCCCAGCACCACCCCAACGCCCCACGACCACCCCAAACCAGCACTCCCACGCGTCCCGCTGCAGTCCCCGGCCCCGCTCGGGACCAGACCCCCCCTCCTGCCCCCCCCACCATGGCCACCGCCGCCGCATGGTCCAGCGACCCCTCGTCCCGCTCGTCCTGCCCCGGCCGCAGCGTCAGCCGCCCGCTGAACAGGTGCTTGCCCAGCTTCAGCTCCGTGGTGCCCGCCACCAGGCACTCCAGCACCGGCGCGTTGAGAACCACCAGCGCCCCGGCAGCCTCCTCGGGCGGCCCGGCGCGGGCCAGCAGACCGGACACCTCGGGAGGCGGGCAGCTGGGAGGGGGAATGAGCGGCTCGGCGGCCGGCGCCGCAGGCTGGGGTGGGGGCTGTGGTGCCGCTGCTGCTGCTGCCGGCTCGTCCACGTCCATGTGCGCGAGCGTGGTGGCTGCATCCTGCGGTGGTGGCTCTCCGTTACCTGGAGCTGCTGCTGCAGCTGCCGCCTCCTCCGGTAGCAGCAGCGGCAGCTGTGCGGCTGGAGGTGGCGGCCCGAGGGCGGCGGGTGCGGAGGGCTGCAGCGCGGCGCCGTCGCGGCACCAGAGCTGCCGGGCCAGGGTGGTGGGGCGCAGGGTGGGCGCGCGCCGCCCCAGCGCCTTCACCAGCAGCGCGACCAGCTCCTTGCGAACCTGGGGGTGGGGGTTGGGGTTGGGGAGTGGGGGTGGGAAGTGGGTACAAATAAGATAAACTGGATGGCTAGGCCGCAACTAAGCATCTAGAAAACCCCAACGCCATTTCCCTCGCCTCCACCCAACTCATACCATGCCCCTGACTACCCGCCCCCCCTCCCTAACCCCCCTACCCCCCCCCCCCCACCCCCACCTGCAGCAGCTGCGACTGCGCGCACATGTTGGCCGCCCGCATCAGCACCTCCTCCACATTCACCCGGAACGTGTCCAGCTGCAGCTTGCTCACCGCCACCGGCTTGTGCAGGCTGCACGGCGAGTGAAGCACCTCCACACACCCGCCCTCGCCCATGCCCAGTTCCAGGTAGGGCGGACCCGGCTTCACGCCGCGGAAGTCCTCCCCGGGCCCCGGCACCGGCAGCGCGCCCTGGCTCAGCAGCGGCGGCGCATTGATCCAGTACTCGATGCGCACCCCGGGGTGCAGCAGCTGGGAGGGCTTCACGGAGATGTGGCCGTGCCAGCGGGAGCCGGGGGCAGCCAGCGCTCGCGCCGCCGCCGCCAGCTCGTCAGCCAGCAGGCGGCCGGCGACGTCGGTGAGGATGGCGTGCATGACGGCAAGCGGCGCGCCCACCTCGTCGTCCTCGGCGCGACGTACGGCAGCGGCGAGGGAGCCGCCGCCACCAGCGGTGGTGCTGCCGAGGGCGGCGGCGCTGCCTGGCAGGCCGCTGGCGGCGGGTGTGGCTGCACTTTCGCTGAGCGTGCTGGGGGCCGCCGCCGCGGCGCCAGCGGCGGGTGCGTTTTTCCCGCCGCCCGCCGCCCCCATGCGCTGCCGCCGCAGGTAGGCCGCGTTGTCCGCCGCCAGTACCATGTGGAAGTTGCAGGTGTTGAGGATCTGCCCCGGCTGCCTCGGGTCGTAGAAGGGCACCCCGATGCACAACACAAAGTGAATGAGCCGCCACTTCCACCGCTGCGACGCGGCGGCGGCGGCGACTGGGTCGGCAGCTGCGGCGGCGGCAGCAGCCGCCCAGCCGTCGGCTCCATCTGCATCCTCGCCACCGCCGGCACGCAGCCCTGCGCCACCGCCTCCGCCACCACCGCCCCCGGCAGCAGCATCCTCCTCCTGCAGTCCCGGCAGCGGCTCCGAGGGCACCAGCGTGAGCTTGGCCTCGTACAGCCCCTCCGCCCGCAGTACGGCAGTGCCGCTGCTGATGCTGACCACCTTGAGACCGGGCGGCAGCGACACCTGCAAGGGGGTGTGAGAAGGGAGCAGCGGTACGCAAGCAGGGGTGTATGCAACCGTGTGCGGGTGCCAAGAAGAGAAGCTCGAACCGAGGCCGGCGGGTCGCTATATCCTGGCTGCCCAGCCTGCTGCTGCAGGACCAGCAAGCACACCCGGCGCCCGGGTGCGGCCCGAGGTGCTCCTCATCCTCCCATCTTGCCCCTCATACGACCCAGCCCTCGTAGCCACCCCAGTAGCGGCCCTGGCACCCCTCCCCTCCCCCGCCCTCCCTCGCTGTGTCCTCCCCCCGCCCCCACCTGCACCAGTCGGGCCCGGATGAGCTGCGTCACGTGCGCCAGTCGGGAGCGCTGGCGGGCCAGTGAGGCGGGCGGCGGCTGGAAGAGCGGCGGGCGGTGCAGGATGATGCTGGGCAGCTCCTGGTAGGTGCCTGCGGGCGGGGGGGGGAGGGCGGGGAGGAGGGAAGGGGGGAATCATGGGTCAGGGAGGGTGGCAGCAGACTATGTGGTAGCGCCCGAGGCTCTGTTGTTGTCTCTAACACGGGCTAGCCATCCTGGGCTGGCTCCCTGGCAGCTGTGGGGTATTGGGGTTGCTGCTGCTGCGGGAGGGGGCCGGGGTGCACCCCGGTGGTGCTGGGCGCAGTGCTGGCGGGTCCCAGCAGACTGCTGCACCAGCTGCTGCTCCCCGCCAGGGTGGGCGACCCGCACACGGGAGTCCCGCCACTGCTGCTGCTGCCCAGTGCCACCGTGGTGCGGCGCTGTGCAGGCGGCGGCGGTATGTCAGGACTTCCCATGCACGGGTCCGTGCTCGGGTGCCCCCTCTGCCTCTGGCCGCCCTCGTCCCTGTGTGCCCTGCTGGCTCCTTCTTGCTGCTGCAGGGCTCCGGCTGCTCCCCTGCCCTCCAAGGCGGCCTGTGTGCTGCCGCGCCCGCCTGCCCGCCATGTCAACACAGCTTTCACACGACCCCTCCCTCCCCTCCCTTCCTTCCAGCTTCATGCAGGCTATGTACCCCTGTTCCTCCCTTCCCCTCCCCTCCCTTCCCCTCACCCTGCCGCCTCCTATCCCCTTTGCTTTGCCCTATCCTGTGGCCTCCTATGGCATGGTTCGGTACGGTCTTTGACCCCTCACCCGTTGTGAGCACCTCCAGCGCCGTGTTCACATCGCTGCTGTTGAGGTAGGCGCCCGCCATGATGCGCCCCGCCGCCTGCTGCCGCATGCCGCCCACCACCTCGCCCAGCACCCGCACGTGCCCCGCCGCGATGTCCAGCAGCCGCTCGTGGTCCACCAGCTCCGACAGCACGCGCCAGGGCTTCCACTGCAGCAGCACCAGGCAGCGCAGCAGCGACTGGCGGGTGCCGTGCAGGTGGGACAGCAGCCGCTGCTTGCTGGGGGGGAAGAGAGAGGGAGGGGGAGAGGAGGGGAACGTCAGAACACGCTTACAGACGTTACCTCGAGAAACTTATACCGTGGGGCACAAAGGTCAAACGAAGGAAGGAAAAACAACCGTAAGGGAGTGCGGCTTCTGGTACGCGCCGCGACGCAGGCGATAACGACGAGGGGGCGGGTGAGGGGTAGAAGTACGAAGCTACGTCTTCCTCGCTGCAAAGACGTTAATGCGCTTGACAGTCTGAACGTTACTGACTACACAACGTCTGTTTGGAAACACAACTGATGTCACCCCAGCCTCACCGCTGGTCGGCGGACTCGCGATCGGCCGGTCCCGGTTGGGAAAGCTGGACAAAGTCGGACAGAGCATTATCGAACACGTCTGCAAACAATTTCTGCAAGTCCACAAGGGGTTGAGCCCCCCGCAAAGGGCCTTGGGGCTCCATTTCCCGCTCCTCAGCAAGCGCTCTGCTGGCCACTCCAAGTAATCCCTCAAGCCTCTGCCTCTAGCAGAGGCACCTAGGTAAACTCAGCTGGCCATTCTCGGCAAAAAGCAACGGTGACGAAAAAACTAGCAACAGTTTGTTGCACTTAACTCAGAATCTATGAGACAGGATCGTCTTGTTTTGATGCGGATTTGCAATTGCATGGTTCATAACCGGGATGGCTAGAGCGACCATCGAGTCTAGGTCCCACCTCCGTACAGTCGCCCCACCGCGGAATGCTAGCAAACTTTGCAACAGAGACACGACACTCACTTGCTTGTGTTATGCACCCTACCCAACATGGCCGCGATCGCAGCCCCTAGATTATTGAGGGCTGTCCCGATCGTGGTGTTGTGCTCCCTTCTGCTCCACTCTACCCAACACGTACTAGCTTTTAAGGAGCACGAGTTTAAGAAATGCGCACAAACTAGCTTCTGCAGCAGGAATCGCAATGTGCCACAGGGGGCCAATTTCGAGATTATCCCCGCATCTATCAGTCTAAACACCGCCACGCTTACGGCTACGCTTCTCAACAAGCCGTACGGGAAACACCTTCAGCTTACGTTGACGTCGCACGCTGATGGGTTCGTTCGCCTCATGGTGGATGAGTCTCCCAGCGTAGGTCGCTACCAGGTGCCGTCAGATATCCTGATCTCAGGATGGGAGAACAAAAAGCAAGGCTTCACGGAAAACTCCCGAACAGCTTCTTCCATTACGCTGACAACGGGTGAAACTAAGCTGGAGCTCAACTTCCAGCCCTTCACCCTTGCGATCACCGTTAAGGGCCAGCCAGCTCTCCAGATCAACAGCCGGAACTTGTTCAACTTTGAGCACCGCCGGCAAAAGCAGGTGCGTTACGGCCCACCTACCACCAACCACCCAACTGAGCTCTTGACCCCACACGTACGTGCAATGTGTAACGCCAAAACATTCCTCTGCTTTACCCAACTCCGTACTGTTCCTCTCCTTAACTCCACTGCCCAGCATAGTACAGGCACCGCCACTTTCGCATCCCGCCTTCCACCCTCGCTCTTCACCCACACACCCTCTTCCTCTCACACCCACCCGCCCCCTCCGCCTCCCCCAGGACAGCGACCCCGCCGGCTACTGGGAGGAGAGCTGGGGCGGCCACACCGACTCCAAGCCCAAGGGCCCCGAGGCGCTCTCCCTGGACCTGGTGTTCCCCGGCTTCCAACACGTGTACGGCATACCGGAGCGCGCCACCAGCCTCAGCCTGCGGGCCACCAATGGTGCGAGCGGGGCGTTGGGGACTTGTGTGGGGACTTGGGAGGAGGAGGAGGAGGAGTGGAGCAAGGCCGCGCTGTGTGCGAACGAGTGTGTGAGGCACCCGGGAGAAAGGACCCTCCCTGAAGTATGGAGCAGATGGCACCGGTAGCCCTGATGGCGCGATGACGGCAGGGGGTGTGGGGGGTGAAAGGAGGAGGGGCTGGAGGAGGAGCACTCCTCTGGGCGCCATTGGGTGCCACTGGGTGCTGCTAGCCGTGCGGGTGCAGCCGGGTAGTGGGCTACACGGGCGAGCGAGCGGGGAGCCAGCAGGAGGGGGACCGCATCCCGCCACCCGCCACCCTGACCGGTTGGCAGACACGAGTCGACAGAGTGGTAGTGACAGCTGTGACAGTAGGGCCCCCCTTACCACACCCGTACGGCAACATCCCTCCTCCCGCCCCCTCCTCCTCCCCCCAGGTGCCGCCCCCTACGGCGAGCCGTACCGGCTGTACAACCTGGACGTGTTTGAGTACCTGGACGACCACCCCTTCGGGCTGTACGGCAGCATCCCCATGATGCTGGCACACAAGAAGGGCCTTACGCTGGGGGTGCTCTGGTGGGTGGGGGGGGCTGGTGCGGGTTCGGGGTTGTTGATCATTTTGGGGTGCGGGTGGGGGGGGGGTATCTGGCTCCGTCGCGTCATGAGCGCTGTCCGGCAGGCCAATACGCAGCACACGGCGGGTTGTGGGGTTGTGCTTGTGCATTAGGGTTTGAGAGGGTCGCATACCCCTACCCCTCTTTCCCCCACTGCCCCCTCCCCTAGCTGCTCTTACGCCTGTCCCCCTCTACTCTCTTCCCACCCTCCCCTCCGCTTCCCATCCCCTTTGCTTTGCCCAATCTGTGGCTTCCTATGACTATGGTTCGGTATGCTCTTTGACCCCCTCCCCTATCCCCTCCAGGCTCAACTCCGCGGAGATGTTCGTTGACGTGGTGAAGGAGCGCGGCCAGGTGGGCAGCCAGTGGGTGGCGGAGAGCGGCATCGTGGACCTCTTCGTCTTCACCGCAGGCAGCCCCGCGGGGGTGCTGGCGGCCTACGCGCGGCTGGCGGGGCCCTCCGCCATGCCGCAGCTCTTCTCGCTGGGCTACCACCAGTGCAGGTGGGAAGGGGGGGAGAGGGGTGTGAACAGCACGGTGCCAACCAACCATGGGAGGGGAGGCGGGGAGGGTGTACGGCATGAGCAAGGGAGGTGGTAAGCCGCGCCGTGCGGGTAGTGGGCAGTGGAAGCGGTGTGGGGGAGTGGATGGACGGCAGCTGAGGCCCTGGTGGACCTTGCCGCCCCCCCTTGTGCAGGTGGAACTACAAGGACGAGGCGGACGTGAAGGCGGTGGACGCGGGCTTCGACACCCATGACATCCCCTACGATGTGCTCTGGCTGGACATCGAGCACACCAACGGCAAGAGGTGGGTGGCTGGGTGGGGCTCCCTTCCTTCCCTGCCAACCCCATCCCGCCGCGTCAACCCACAATCATGACGACGCCTCCCACACCCCTCCCCTCCTCCCCGCCCCCTCCCATGCAGGTACCTCACCTGGGATAGCTCGCTCTTCCCCTCGCCCGCGCCCATGCAGCTCGACCTCGCCTCCCGCGGCCGCCGCATGGTGACCATCGTGGACCCGCACGTCAAGCGCGACCCGGGCTACTACGTCTTCGCGGAGGCGGAGGCGGCGGGGCACTACGTCAAGAACAAGTACAACACAGACTTTGACGGGTGGGGGGGCGGGTGCGGGGTGCGGGGTGGGGGGCGGGTGGGGCAGTGGCCGATTGTCGGGATGTGTGACACGTGACAGCCAAACCTCCACCCACATGTCACCCCCATCTTCCCAACACTCCACCCCCGTTGAACATCTTCCCGTCCCTCCCCTCCCCTCCCCCCCTCCAGCTGGTGCTGGCCCGGCTCCTCCAGCTACCTGGACGTCACCAGCCCGGCGGTGCGGCAATGGTGGGCGCAGCAGTTCACACTGGACCGCTACTCCGGCTCCACACCGCACCTCTACATCTGGAACGACATGAACGAGCCGTCGGTGTTCAATGGACCCGAGGTGGGGGTGGGGGAAGGAGTGACCCGCGGGTCGGAGGGGGTGGATGTGCGGGATGATGCCCATGTGGGGGCTCCTCGTGTGGGGGCCGCATGTTGCACCCTGGTGGAGGTGCGGGGGCTGCCCAGTGGCTGTGGACGTAGGTGACGCACCGTTGGGTTGTCCCCCTCCCCCTCCGGTATGTACGCAATCCTAGCATCCTGCCACATCCGGACTACGTACCCCCCCCCTCCCCCCCTTCCCCCGCAGATCACCATGCCCAAGGACAACCTGCATGCGGGCGGTGTGGAGCACCGCGACACGCACAACCTGTACGGCGTCTACTACCACATGGCCACCGCGGAGGGGCTGCAGCTGCGGGGGCAGCAGGCGGACCCGCAGGACGGGGACAGGCCCTTCGTGCTGTCGCGAGCATTCTTCACGGGTAGGGGGGAGGGGCGGGGGAATTGGGGGGATGGGACTTGGGTCGGTTCGGGCGAAGAGAGCAGCATGTTTCGTGGTCCCGTTACTGCAACACGCGGGAGGGTGGTACAGCAGCGAAGAAGGCAGGCAGGTGCTTGTTCCCTGTTCCCTCGCACGCCGCATCACCTCATCCCACCTCCTCCCCCCCCTCTTCCCCCCCCCCAGGCACCCAGCGTGTGGGCCCCATCTGGACGGGCGACAACGCGGCCCAGTGGAGCCACCTGCGCGTGTCGGTGCCCATGGTGCTGTCGCTGGGGCTGGCGGGGCTGCCCAACGTGGGGGCGGATGTGGGCGGCTTCTTCGGCAACCCGGATGCGGAGCTGCTCACAAGGTGGGAGTGGGAGGACTGGGGGGGAAGGGAGGGGAGGATGGAGGGAAGGATAGAGGAAGGAGGAGGGGAGGGGAGGGGAGGATAGAGGAAGGAGGAGGGGAGCATGTGCTTTTCCCAAGGCACCTCGTGTGCTCACAACCTGCCTCCACCGTTGCTCTAGATCCCCTTCCTTCCCTGCCCCTTACCTTCCCCCCCTCCGCATCTTCCCTCTATTTTGTGGCACCCTGCCGTCTCCTATCCCCATTGCTTTGCCCTAACCTCTGGTCTCCTACGGTCTGGTATGGTCTTAACCCTTCCGCCCCTCCTCCGCCCCCCCCCCAGGTGGTACCAGCTGGGCGCCTACTACCCCTTCTTCCGAGGCCACGCGCACCTGGAGACGCAGCGCCGCGAGCCCTGGCTGTTCGGCCCCGAGGCCACCGCCCGCATCCGCGCCGCCATCCGCACGCGCTACAGCCTGCTGCCGTACATCTACACGCTCTTCCGCGCCGCCAACACCAGCGGGCAGCCCATCCTGCGGCCGCTGTGGTTCGAGTTCCCGGAGCATGAGGGTGGGGCGGGGTGGGGTGGTGTGAAGAATGGAGATACCCAATGTGGGGTGGGGTGGGGGGAGGGGGAGGATGCAGCAGCAGAGTGGAAGTGGCTGTGGTGGTGAGACGAGAAGCAACTGCGTGCTCCTTGCATTTTTGGCTGCTTGCTTGGATACCTGCCTTCATTACCTTTACCCCCTACCTCCTCGTCTCTCCCCCTTCCATCTTGTTCCCCTCCTCCCCCCCTCCTCAGAGCTGTTTGCGGTGGACGAGGAGTTCCTGGCCGGCCCCGCCATGCTGGTGAAGCCGGTGGTGGCGCCGGGGGTGGGCCAGGTGGAGGTGACGCTGCCGGGCGGGGCCAGGTGGTACGACGCGGCCACGGGGGCGCTGGTGCCGCCCGCCGCCAAGACGAAGAGCCACCGGGTGCAGGTGAGGGGGGAGAGAGGGAGGAGGGGAGGGAGGGAAGGCGCCCTGTACAAGTAGGAGAGACGCTCTCCACCCTGGCTCTCTTCCTGTTGGCTTGCTACCCCAGTCGTGTTCTCATATTCGGATCAGGCCCGCAGCACCTCACCGCCCCTCACCGCTCCCCCCCCCCATGGTGGAGCCTCGCCATTCAGTTTGTCAGTGTTTCTTTATTTTTACCCCCCCCCCCCCCACGCCGAGCACATGTGGGGCCTTGGTGACCAACATTTGACAGCAATACCAGCCATAACCAGCAATAGACAACTACAACAGCCAGTTTTCTTCGGCCCGCTCGCTGGAGTGTCAACTTTTCATCCGCAACGCGGACCCGGTATCGGTAGGGAAAGCTAACCAACCCATTGTCTTGTGGCACCCTGCCAACTCCTACCCCCATTGTTTTGCCCTAACTTGTGGTCTCCTATGGTTTGGTATGGTCTTTGACCCCCCAGGTCACCCTGGACGCCATCCCCGTCTACTACCGCGGAGGCCACATCGTGCCCCGCCGCGAGCGCCCCCGCCGCAGCACCGCCGCGCAGGCCGCCGACCCGCTCACCCTGGTAGTGGCGCTGGACGAGCAGGGCGGCGCAGAGGGGGAGCTGTACATGGACGACGGCCGCTCCTTCGCCTTCCAGCGGGGCGGCTACCTGCACCGCCGCTTCGTATTCCGCAGCATGAAGCTGGTCAGCAGCGCGCAGCAGGTGCCGGCGGGTGGGGTGCCCGAGGGCACTCTGACGCTGCCTGTCAGCATCGAGCGGGTGGTGTTTCTGGGTCTGCCGCCCTCGCGGCGGGGCTACAAGGCGGTGGTGGGCGGCAGCAGGCAGGCGGTGCCGCTGGAGGCGGGGCCGCTGTCGCTGGTGGCGGCGCCGGGGGCGGAGGCGGCACTGGTGCTGCGGAAGCCGGATCTGCCGGTGTCGCACGACTGGGAGGTGGAGATTGTAGCGGTGTGAGGGGAGGAGGAGGAGGTGGTAGGTGTCAGGGTGCGTTGCATGTGGTGGGAGGGGTTGATGGATGGGCGGTATTGCGTCTTTCACATCAGAGGTTAGGACGCGTTGGGTGGATGTGCAGGTTGATGGCGGAGAGAGCTTCAGGCATGGCGCATGGGAGGCAGTTGGGGCATCTGGAGGGTAGAGAGGAGGCCGAGGGCAGACGGATGGGGTATTGGTGCTGGGGTGGTGGGGCATCTTTTGCGCGCGCGTGCGTTGGCTTCTGGTGGTGGTGATGCGGCACAGCAGTGTGGTGCTGCGGTGCCCCTGTTGGAAGGGGTACAGGAGGGTGGCGTGCTGACTGCTGAGGACCGTGAACGCGATTACAAGCAAACCCAACTGTTGCAGTGGGGGGGGCCAGCTATCGCACGCCACAAACACGTGGCGAGTCAACTTAGACACACATGGTCATTTAAACTCCCCACTAAACTCCGCTCATGACGCCCCAGCATTCCCCAGAGCCGTGCACACATGCACACTGCCATGCGCCGCTGCTCTGTGCGGATCAAGACACGCACCCATAGCTGCAAGCTTGTGTCAAGCCCTTGCCCGTTTGACTAATACATTGCCATGAGTACATTGCGTTTGTCGTATGACATCTCCGTCGCATGCGGAAGTGGAAGCCAGCTGCTAGGGAAGGGACACAGTGCCGTACTATGAGAGAAAGCGCTCCACTCACCCGTCCCCCGCACACGCGCCTGCTTACAGCTTAATGCGTTCATGCCCATCAGTGCCCTTCTACTACTACTACCGGTATTAACAGTCATGTTCTCATGCAATTCACAACCGCGTACCCCGAACCTGACTTCGACTCTACGTTTACGCACTTGTCAGTGCACCGGTTCCTCCCTTGTCCGCATTGCCTCTGCCTCTGCCGCTGATACCGACATCCTGCTACTACCGCACCGTATTGCTGCTGCGCCACACTGCTGCCTACCCCACACCTTCAGCAAACGCTGCCGGCTCAGTTCACGTACTGCATCCACACTCGCGGCCAGTTTTCTTAACGCACCTCCCTCCCCCACTGGCTTTGTTCCCACCATACCCCCCCCCCCCTTCTACTGCTGCCCCCCTGCACTTCGTGACAGTGTGGCGTACCCAATGGCCACCGCCGCCGCCACATACACCCCCGCGAACAGCGCAGTCGACAGCAGCGCCGCCCGCGACCGGCGCTCCCGCAGCGCCCAGCTCGCAGCACCCAGCATGCGCACCAGCCCCCCGCCCCCTGCACCCCGCCACCCACCCGCCCCCTTGTCCCCCGCCGGCCAATCCGCCGGCGCCTCCGAGGGCACCCGCCACAGCCCCGCGCGCCCCTCCATGCGCGCAGCATGCGCCACACATTCCGACAGCACCACCACCGCCGCCTCCCCACCACCACCCCCACCGCTACCTAAACGCCGCCGGCTGTGGTCTCCACCCACACCACCACCACCACGCCTCCGCAGCACCTGCAGAGGAAGCCCCCTCCCCGGCCGCAGCGGCAGCAGTACATGCGGCGGCTTGGCGCGCCACAGCTCCTCCGCCTGCCGCATCAGCTCCTCCAGCTGCAGCCACCCGCCGGCCCCATCGCTCCTACCCCTTCCCCTGCCCCTCCCTCTCCACCCCCGTCCCTCCCCTCCATCCTCCTCCCCAGCAGCCCCCGCCGGCGCCACGATCTTCAGATTCGTAAGCGCGGAGTGCAGCTCCGGCATCTCCTCGCAGCCCAGCAGCGCCCGCCGCTGAGACCGCATGGCCACCGCGCCCAGGTACAGCGGCAGCAGCGGGTGGCCGGACAGGAAGAAGTCGAACAGTCGCGCCGCGGCAGCCAGGCAGTCGAGCTCATGCGCCCACCAGGTGAGGAACCAAGAGAGCGCAAAGAAGGGCTGCAGGCCCAGGGCTGCCATGTGGCGGGCGAGGTGGGGGTCGGCGGAGGCGAGGAGGTACGGCAGCAGCTGCAGCAGTTGTACCACAGGTTCCAGGGTGGGGCGGGTGGCGTCGCGGAGGTGGGTGGTGGCGAGGCGGCGGAGCAGGGAGAAGGCTAGCAGCTCGGAGGGGTCGGGGGTGGCGGGGTCGGGGACGGGCGAGTCAGGGTCGTCAGCTACAGTGTTGTCATAGCCGGTGGCGGTGGCAAGAGCGGTTTCGTTGTCAGCAGCAGCGCCGGCAGCAGCCGTGTTGCAGTCAACACAAGCGGCCGGGCTGGCGATGTCGGTGCGGGTGTGGGGGTGGTTGGCGCCGCCGTGGGGGTCCCTGTCGCCGGCTGAGCTGTCCGCAGGGGGCAGCGGTGGCGGCAGCAATGGTGGTGGTGGCGGGGGCGGCAGGGCCAGCAGCAGCACCCCCGCTACGTCGTGCAGCCCCTGGTAGTAGAACACGTCCCCTGGGGGGGAGGGGGCGGGGGGGAGGAGGCGGATGGGAGTGATGAGGACAAGCCTGAAGAGGAGGCGAGGAGCGTGGGGCGGCATGCTGGCGGCTGCGAGGGAGGGTCCCACAGCGCAGTTGTGCGGCCGTGTGAGGGAGCTGCGCGCGGAGGAAGACGTGAGGGCAGAGAAGCCCCTCTCCCCTGTGCCAGCCTGCTATCCCTGGCCAGCTCCCCTTCTCCCCTGTCCCGCTGGCAGCCGGAGTAGCACCCGCGCGAGCAGGTGCCGGGGCGCTCCACCCCAATCGGCCAGCTGGTGGATGTTAGCGTGCCCCCTAACCCCATCCCTCCCTCCATCCTCTGCCCCCGGCCCCGCCCCACCCTGGTGTGCTGCCACCAGCGCATTCAGCAGCCGCTTCAGCTGCCCCCGCCGCCGCTCCCGCTCGCCCCGCGCCGCCCCCCGCGTGAAGCCCCACAGCGAGCGAGCCACGTCCACCTCCACCACCGCGGAGTCGCGGTGCGGCTGAGCCGACCAGCGCAGGTACTGCTGCCACTCCGAGGTACTGCTGCTGCTGCTGCTGCCTGTACGGCTGCTGTACAGTTCATCACCCTCCTCCGCCGCCTCAGCCGCCTCCTCCGTCGTATCCGCTTGCGCTCCCCGAAGCGAATGGCGCTGGCGCTGCTGCAGCTCCGGTCCATTGCTGCCGTGTGGCACCAAGCTGCCTTCGCATCGCCCCCCTCCACCGCCGCTGTCGCCGTCGGCTTTACCAATGGCGGCTGGACAAGCACCCCTTGATGCGTTGCCGCTTTCATGACCCCCGGTACCGCCGCCGCTGCCGCTGTCGCTGTGTCGGCTGCCGCCGCCACCGGCTCCGCTGCTGCTAGTTCCGCCACCGCCACCGACCAGGGTGCCACACGAGGCGGAGGCTTCGGAGGGCTGGTGCGGCGCCCGGGGCTGCGTCTCTTGGCTCGCCACCTCGCCTCCCGTTCGGCTGGTTGAGGAGGGGGACGCCGGCGGAGCTGAAGCCGGGTGCGACACGGCTCGGAGGGGCGGCGGTGCGGTGGCGGCAGGGGCGATATGGGTGCTGGGGGCGGGTGGCAGAGTGGAGCCGGCGGGGCGGGAGGAGGAGGGGCGAGGTGAGGAGGAGGCGGGTGGCCGAGCGGGTGGCTGGCCTAGGGCGAGCAGGCTGGTGCCCCCGCCTGCGCTGCCTCCTGCGGGTGGGTGGATGCCCAGCAGGCGGGGCCACACCACTGCTCGGATGCGGTCGTTCACGAAGCCATGGGTGACGGCCAGCCGGCGCAGGCGGGAGAGGTCCTGGTGTGCGGGTTGGCGCGGAGGTGTGGGGGTTTGGGATATAGATACATCGGCCAAACGGCTAAGCCGAGGGCATGACACTCTTTCCCTCCTACCTCGGGATCCCTCAGCGCTTGGACGACAAGCTTAGCGGTCTGCAAGTCTCTTCCTGTCAGACCCTCTAGGAGGGAGTCGTAGCCGTCCCCGCTGACCACCTTCGGTCCATCACTGGCGGACCTAACCGGCATGGGTAACTTCTCTTTGTCGGCAGCCAATTTCAGTCCTAGGACTTTAAGAGATGATGCTTCGGCAATTTGAGACGACTGGTGAGATCCTATTTGTTTTGGTGAGTCACATATGAAATTGCTGGATCGCTCGGGCATGGTCCCAACGGAGCTCAAAAGAGGTATCCTGGCATCGCCTTCCGCGCCTCCTTGGCTCGGATTTATGCGGTTTCGATGCCTGCCCTTAGCCCTGCTGCGTTTTGATCGCGACATGCCGATGGCTCAAGCTGCTGCCGCGTCTTTATCGCGTGCACCACTCAATACCCACTCCGTAGAGAGATCGAATTGTGCTTAACACATTCAAGTAAGGCGAATACAGTTAAGAAGCGACTAGCGCTCAAAGCTACCCTAACCGTAGAAGTAGCTATCGTGCATCGGCGTGTCCCAGGACAGGCACAGAGCGTAAACCACTTGATACGCAGGGACTCTTCAGGCTATAATCCGGCAGAAGTGGCTATCTTCAGCTTCGTGCAAAACGTCCTTACCATGTCATGGTCCGTACAAACGCACGGCATGCAGTGCGCGCATGCTTCCCGGCCAGCACTGCCAGAAGTGCCAGAGGCTTGTCAGGAACTGGTGACGCAATGCCCTTAGGCTCTAAAATGAAAGGCGCATATGCTAAGGCTGGTGACGAACGTGTCGTGTGTGTGTATCAGGGCAGATGGCGGGACCGTTGGGAGCGTGGGTTGCTGTTCTACTCGACGCGACGGCACCCCAGCACATGCCGTGACAACCCGAACGGAAAGCGCTTACATATTTCACGTCAGGCGTCGAGGGAAGGAAAATAAATTGCACTAACGCTCGTCCATGCCCGGACTTCTTGCCCATACAACCGCGAGAGTAATCCGCAAGAGGCAGCAGCTCAGCCAGCAATGGGTGACAACGTGTAACCTATCAACAAGTGCCCACAACGCACCAATGTGTCAACTTGCCATCTCACCACCAGTAACCGCGAAAGGTACGTCAACTGAAGTACGCTCGAGGAGCCGCCGTCATAAGGACCCACGTACCGTACAAATACGTACCGGTACGGCCAAGGCAACCCAACCACCAACCCAATACCCCAATAAGATTAAGAACCACGTACACCCGGGGTACTGAGGTGATGAAAGCCCCAAAGCATCCAACCTCCGTCTCACAACACAACGCTCATCAATTGCGACGCGGCAATCGAACGGATATCGAACGGCGGCGCATCCCAACGCTTGTGCTGCACCGATCGAAGAAACAAAACACCGATGACCCCCTATGTCACCCGGGTACCGCACCCCATCTGAATTGCTCTCCTCACGGCCCCCTGCGGGACCGCTACCGTGCTGGCGCCAGGCGGTGCAATGGCAAGGCCCCCACAAGGCCTTGTCCCTGCATACCTTCCTAGACACCGGACTGGGGCGGGTTTGGCTACCGTCCCGCTACAGGCTACAGGGCTACCCGCGCAGCGATCTCTCTACCCACATGCGCTACTAGGCATAGCTCCCAGATTACTGATACCGGTAAACGACATCTGGGGGCTTCCCAATCAGAGGCAATGTACGGAAGGAGGTTACGGCGTTAATGCAGCGCGCTCGCACGGTCAACACACTCCGTTGCCGTACCGCCTCAGATGACAGAAACCACTCACCACCAACCAATTAACGAACTAACCAACCAACCAAAGAGGGCGCTGCATGTTAACTCACCAACCAACCGAGGGCGCGTGTCCCCGGATAAGCCAGCTGGCGTATTGTTGAAGCCAGCCCTAGATCGCGCCAGGAAGACAAAGGAATGGTAGACCGTAGGCAAAAGGCCGCATGTAGAATCCAACGCCGTACATCCATTTAATTGTCAAGCTTGGCAGCAGCCATTTACCTGGGCACAGCGTTGGATGAATTGAATAATAGCGAACCCACACCAACGAGCAACTTCAGCAGGCATAAATTGTCACATAATACAAAGCCGGGCCGAAGGTCAAAGAGCATCCCATTATCCTTACGCCAAAACCCTCGACGTACATTCATCGTACAACCTCTTAACCACCTCCTCCTGACGACAGGCGAGTACGCTCCCACACGCTACGCGCAGCCCACGTCTGCAGGCCCGCATTTGCCCGCATGGGCTCGCTCTCGAGCCAGTTGGGTAGGGAACGCCTCCTCAGCGCCTCACCCTCCCGCCACCACCGCTGGCCTCACCGCCCCCGCTGCCACCACCGCCCCCACCACAACTGCCCCCGCCACCGCAACCTATAGCAGTCCCCACACCGGCCGCCCAGCCGGCGCTAGCGGCGGCAGCCATAGCAGCAGCCGCAGCCGGGCCCCCGGCAACAGCAGCTCCTCCGCAAGCAGCAGCAGCCGCAGGGCCACCTGATGGGGCGACAACTGACATGAAATTAGTTTATGAGGACATATCGCAGCCCGCATCAATTATAATTGAGGAGGACATATCACAGCCACATAAATCCTGGGTTCACACGAAACGCCTCAGCAGCAGCAGCAACAGCAGCCGTCGACCAAACGAGGTGGCAGTACGCACGCACGCGCCTGGCTTCCCTCATACGGCATTGATTCAGTCGAGGCCCATGTTCCCCCATGACAGTACACGAAGAACTCGTGCTTCTGAAGCATCCTACCAGTTACGCCATTTCCTCGGCAATCCCCCTCAGCCTTTTCTAACTCCCCTCGCCGGCACAGTTCTCCCATTGGCTCCCAAACAGCCCACTACCCATACATTAGCGTGGGTAGCCCACTCTGACACTCATCCCTGCTAGCCGGCTCGGGAATGTACGGCGCGCAGCGAAACGCATCCATGCTATACACCACCTTGAACAGCACTGCAGTCCCCCCCGACAACTCCGCCTCCCCCTCCGCCCCACTGCCCTCACCTGCCAGCCGCGTGTCGCCTGCAGGAGGCCTCCTGCCCTCGCCGCCGCCTCCTGCAGCCAGCACCGGAGCTGTGACTCCACCACTGCTTTCGGCCCAGCCGGCGGCGGGTCCTCCCCACATCCCGGCGCCACCAAGCCTGCCCCTGCCCCTGCCTCTGCCCCTGCCCTCCGGGTAGTTCGGTCCCCAAGGGGCTTCGGCTCCAACCCATCCTCCTCCTCCACCTCCGTATCCTTCCCAACCTCCACGTCCCCCCCATCCTCCTCCTCCGCGACCTCCCTGCCGCCCCGCCGCACCCAGCTGCTGCCCCTGTTGCAAGGCGCCCGCCTCCCGCCCCGCCGCACCCCCTGCAGGCGCCAAGCAGCCGGGCGGAGGTCCGTGCGGCGGGCCCCACCCTGGCGCCGGCTCCGCAGCGGCAGCAGTGGCCGGTGGCATGGTGACAACATCGGTGACGGGACCGGGTGCATGTGGGGGTTGCCACGGGGTGAATTGCCCTCCTCCGCCTCGTGCGGGACCTCTTCCCCCTGGCGCCCTTCCTCGGCCGCCGGGGAAACCGCCGCGAGCAGGACCGCGGCCGCGACCACGGCCGGATCCCGTAGACCGCATGTCACAGTCGCCGCTGCCTGTCTGACTGCTGGCATCGTCTGCCGCATGCATGCTGCCGCCCTCGCCAGTCCCAGCGAATTGACCGCCTCCGCTGCCGCCGCCAGCAATGCCGACACTGCCGGCTCCAACATCCCCGAAGCCGCCACCACCGTTACTGCTGCTGCCACATCCATATCCACCACCACCACCGTTACTGCTCCCGCCCCCGTCACCCCCGCCACCCCCGCCCGCCGCCCCCCCGCTGCCGCCCACCTCACTCCCCTCCGGCCACTTGGGCCACTCCAGCATCACCTGAGCCAGGGCCGCCCGCCTGCTGCTGCCCGGGGGGCCCAGCCCGCCTGGCCCCATCCCCCCACCCGCGCCATGCAGGATCGCCTCCGCATGCATCCGAGCATTGCTGCGCAGGGCCCGAACAAACGCATCGCCTGCGCGCTGCCCGCCGCATGTCGCCACTAGTCGTGCCGCCACCACCTTCTCTCCCAGCTCCCGCACCGCCTCGCACTCCGACAGCGCGGCTAGGTGGCTCTCAGCCCGCCTCGCATCTCCATCCTGCAGCTGCTGCTGTGGGTGCAAGGGTCCCGACTGCTTCCCCCCGCGCTGCAGCGGCCGAGGCCTTGCGTGCAGCTGCGGCCCCTGCTGCGGCGTCTCCAGGCAGGCGAAGTGCGCTGCCTCATGCAGGCGGTCCGCCAGGTGCCGCAGCAGCGGTAGGCCCGGCAGCCAGGCGGGGGGCGGGGCGGCGGGGCTGGAGCCGCCGCGGTGCAGCAGCACAGCATCCTGCGCGGCGGGGTGGGGTGGGGGGTGAAGGAGGGGGAGACTCGCTGGCTGCAGGGTGCCCAGGCGTGGTGCATGCGTGCGACCGTGCTGCTCTCCACCTCCCACCCCGCTCTCGCCGACCCCTCTCAAGCGGCCCCTTCCCTCCCCCTCCCCATCTCCCCTCCTCCGCACCTGCACCGTCACCAGCAGGCGGGCCAGTGTCAGCGACCGCGCCAGGCGGTCCAGCGGCGCCACCCCGCACCGCCGCAGCAGCGCCCGAGCCACCTGCGCGGCCCGCAGCCCCCACTCCGCTGCAGCAGCGGGGCAGGCAGCAGCGGCAGCGGCAGGAGACGGAGAGGCGAGCAGGGTGTGGTGCGCCAGGGAGGAGGTGACCAGGTAGCGGAGCAGCACCGCGGCGCGGGGCAGCAGCGGGCCGGAGGCGGGGGGGAGAGGCTGCGAGGCGGGGGGAGGAGGGGGGGGAGAGAGGGGGAAGAGGCAGGTGGGTGGGGGTTGGGGAAGCAGGAGAGGCACGGGGGAAAGGAGGCGCGATGGGGAGAGAGTTGTGCGAGCAGGGAGGTGGGACAGGGAGGGCTGGGATGCTGCACGACAGACAAGCGGGACTCCTGCGCCGCGGCTGGTCCATAACTCGGCGCGTGCTGGGGGTGCCGAGGGGTGCATGCGCTCCACACCTTCCATGCTGCCATGCGGTCAAGAGGCTGCAAGGCCCTGCAATCACGAGCACACCCAGTGCCCAACAGGCTGAGGCCTAGCTAGGTACTGCCCAGCATCCCACACGCCCCGTCCCGCCCTCCGCCACCCACGTCCCACCCCACGCACCCAGCCAATGGTGAGCAGCTCCGCACCCAGCGCCGCTCGCTGCCCCCGCGCCGCAGCCCCGGCCAGTCCCTCCCCGGCTGCCCACAGCGCCTCCAACACGTCCGTTTGCAGTACACGCTCCGCCGCCGCCGCTAGCTTGACTGGCGGCAGCGCTGTCGCTGCAATTGCTGCGGCTGCCATGGAGGGGTGGCGAGGTGAGGATGGGGCAGGCAGGGCGGTGCCAGCTGCCGTCGTCGTCCTCGCTGCGAGCACAGCCGCCACGTACTTCTCGTACTCACCCAGGAATTGCGACCAGGCCGCTTCCTCAGGGGGCACGAGGGGCCGATGCATGGGACCAGGCGCTTGCTGCAGGTGCTGTGCTGGCAGCTGCAGCAGCTGCTGCTGATGGTGGTCCGCTTTGTGGTAGCGTTGTTGGTACTGCCGCTGCAGCGGCACCTGCCTCTCAGGTGCAGCTTGCTGGCCACCAAGTGGGCCCTGCAGCTCCCTGGGCCCAAGCTGCTGCTGCTGCTGTTGGTACTGCTGCTGGTGCTGCTGCTGCTGCTGTTGTTGCTGCTGCTGGTAGCGCGGCTCGTGTCGCTCCGGTTGCCAGTGCTCCTGCTGCATCAAGGGAAGCGGCCCGGCATCTGCATACTGCTGCTGCTGCCGTACTTGCCGTGGTGGCGGCTGCTGGGGTTGCTGCCGCGGCGGCTCCGGCGGCTGCTGTAGAGGGACAGGGGCCTCCCCAGCAGGCGCTGTCTGCAGGGTCGAGGGATGCGAGGCCTTAGCGGGCGGGGGCGTTGCATGCATGCCGCGAGGGTTGGTTGCTTGGTTGGCAGGCAGCGGACGTGAGGGCGCATGGGACGCAGCCGCCTGGGGGAAGCGCTGATCCAGTTGCTGGTGCTGCTGGTGGGTTAACCGCTGCTGCTGCTGCTGGCCTTGTTGTTGCTGCTGTTGCTGCTGCAAGTGGGCCCAAGCCTGTGCATGCGGTGCGCCCTGCAATTGGGCATGCGGTTGCAATTCATACCTGTGCTGATTCCCTTGCTGTTGCTGCTGCTGCTCCCATTTCTGGTGCTGTCGCTGGTGCTCCCGTTGCTGTTGCTGCTGCTGCTCGCGTTGTTGTTGCTCCTGCTCGCGTTGTTGTTGCTGTTCCTGCTGTTGCTGCTGCCAAATCAGTGTCTGCGCCTGGAGCAGCGTGTTGGCCGGTGAGCCACCCCCCACCGCCTGCTGCAGCCGCCTCAAGGCCTCCGCGACGGCGGCGGCCTGCAGCCCTCCGGCGCCGCCGCCCGCAGCAGCAGCAACAGCAGCAGCAGCGGTAGCGCTGAAAGCCGCCGCTTCGTCGCTAGCTGACTGCAGCAGCCCTACCGGCTGCACCAGCGCCCCGTCTAGAGAAGAAGACGCATGGGGGCCAAGGGGGGTCCCCAGGGGCGCTTGCGGCGACTGGTATCCCTGCTGCTGCCACTGCGGCTGCTGCAGGTGCTGCTGATGGGAGGCCTGTGACGCCGCCAACAGCAGGTGCTGCGACGGAGTGGGCTGCGGGTGCTGCTGCTGCTGATGCAAGTGCTGCTGCGAGGGTGGTGGCACGACCGGCATCCGTTGCGGTTGCTCCTGCTGCTGCTGTGGCGGAGGCTGCTCCAATGCATTGTATTGGTAGTGCTGTTGGCTTGATGCTTGTAGCCGCCGCTGCTGCGGCAACTGCTGCTGCTGCAAATCTGGTTGTTGTTGTTGTCGCTGTAGCTGTTGTTGGCTGGGTAGCGACTGCCGCGGTGGGCCCCAGGAAGGCAGATGTGGTGCCCTGGGGCCGCCGTGGGGCGCAGCGGCTCCTTCTTGCGGGTGGGGGCCCACGTGATGCAGATCCTCCGGTGGCCCGCTGAGGCCGGCCGGACGGCCGCTGTGTGCTGCTGCGTGCGGCTGTTGGAAGGGCTGGCGGCGCTGCTCTGGCTGCAGCCACCCACCATGCCGCTGTTGACCATTTCGAGCTGGCAGCTGCGGTTGCTGCGGCTGTGGCGGTGGTGCTGCATGCTGCTTCGAGGGCTGCGAGGGCTGCTGCAGGGGGTGCTGCTGCGGTGGTGCATTGGGTTGGGGCTGCCGTGCAGCTGGAGATTGCGGTGGTTGTTGCGGGTGTGGGGGATGCGGCAGGCGCTGCGGCTGCTGCTGCTTTGGCGGTGGCGGCGGTGGATACTGGGGCCGGGGTTGCTGTAGCTGCTGCTGTGGCGATGGCGGCTGGGGTTGGGGCGGGTTATGCCTCGGCGGCGGTGACGCCAGCGGTGAGGGGCTCTGCGGGAGGCTTGTGACGGGTTGGGGCAGGGGATGTTGTTGATGCTGCTGGTGCTGCTGCTGCCAAGGCAAGGGTTGGCTGACCGGCTGCTCAGGTGCGCCGGGCTCCACCTCCACCTGGCCGGACTGCCCCGGCTGCTGGTGCTGGTGCTGCTGTCGACCATGCTGCGGCTCCCCAACCTGCTGTCCGTGACCCGGACGCTGCCCCCACCCAGGTCCGTCGCTGTGCACCGAAGGCCCCTGCTGCTGCTCCTGGCCCTGCGGCGCCCCAAGCTGCCGCTGGCGCTGCTCGCTCGGCTGCGGGGGCTGCTGCCAGTGGTGGCCCTGCTGCAGCCTTTGCGTGCGCTGCTCCTCATGGCTGAACTGAAGCCTGTGCTGCTGCTGCTGGAGATGAGGGCGATGATCCCGCTCCTTCTCTTGTCCGGGATGAGGCGCATGAGCCGCCTGGTCAGCCAAGGACTCCGCTGCTGATGGCGCTGCTGCAGGTGATGATGATGTTGTTGATGCGGTAACGGCCGACAGAGGGCTGCATTTGGCATCTAGGACAGGCACACAGTCAGCGCCAGCGGAGTCGGGTGGCACAGCGCATGCCGCCGTAGTGGGTGAAAGTGTGATGACACCGTTGGGCTCGGCTTTTACTGACGCGGCGACTGGTTCCTGACTTGTGGCATCGCTGCTTGCCAAGGGAGAGTCAACGGTCGCGGTTGGGGAAGAATGGGCTGACCTGTAAGCCTGTGGCGTGAGCGCTGTCACCGAGTCCTGATCGGGTTGCGCGAGTGGTGTTCCTGGTGTCGGGCAGGACGATGACGCCGTAAGGAACCCGTCGTCTTCATCGGAACAAACCTCCGCGCGATCACAGGGTCGAGGAGAATGCGGGGGTAGCCCATTGCAAGAATCACAAGAACCGGTCTTCGTCCCAGCCAACCCTATGTTTTTGGGAGCCGGCTTAAAGAAGCTCGCCGCTGCACATGCTCTGCTGTCAACCAGGAAATTGCGATGGCGCTCCTGCTTGCGAGTTCTGCAACCCAGGAACCATGTCGGGACACCAAGACTGGCCGAGATGCAGGACCTTCGCTGTTGCTCAAGTAGATGGGTAGCCACATTAGGATTGCGCCTGCCAATAATAGAGTCTATGCGCCGGTTTGAATCGGGTGCAGCGTCCATACTTCTAAGCGCCCGTGAGGCGCTAGTAGCGACTTAGGGAATACCAGTGTCCCATATTGTTGACTACGCGACCTGAACTACATCCAGGCCAATAATAAACATTACTGTAAGCTAGTGTCTATTACAAGAAGTATGGCCAATGAAGACGCTCGTGATGTAACGGCCCTAGAAAAGACAGATACGCAAGAACGACGCCTGAAAGAAATATCAAGATTCCATTGAATAAGATAAGTGGTATTATTGCAGTCTGGCGTTAGATCTTACACATCAGATATCACCACATCAGGCACTAGTACGGCACGCTAGGCTATCGCGAATTGCAGTCTTTAACCAGCCAAAACGGCTCTTGTTAAATCCTCGATATCTTGAAGCCATGCTCGCATCGCAACGAAGCCCAGCGCTGGCCCCCGGTGCCTGCGTGGATTGCATCCTGCCGTCCTGCGTGCTCGAACACGTCCACCGCCGTAGCTCCCAAACGCACCCCCCATTTACATAACGGTACCCTTTAGAGGGCTTGCTGTGACATTTACCCTCTGCCAGAGCACGTAAAGCTGTTTCACCATGCGGCCCTACCTATGTCTGTGCGCACAGACCCCTCGGGTCACATGGCAACTAAGTACGATGCAGCTAAATGCCCCCACATGCATGCACATGATCCCTGACACGCTAGGGCCTACCCTCGAAGCGCGGGGTTGTACACACTTACCTGCTCCGCCCATGCCTTGGAGGGGCCCCAACGATGTCCGCGCGCCAATGGCTCCCCGCTCCTGTGTGGGAGGCCGTCGTCAATCCTTGTGCCGGCCCCCCAGAACTGCGGAGGGGGGGAGAAGGAGCAAGGAAGGGGGGGGGGAAAGGATCAGCAGGAAAAGCAGGTGCGAGCCCGCCACCGGTAGGCCCTCCAATGAATGCTCAATGCCCATGCAACATGCCTAGTACGATGCAGCTAAATGCCCCCACATGCATGCACATGATCCCTGACACGCCAGGGCCTACCTTCCAAGCGCGGGGTTGTACACACTTACCTGCTCCGCCCATGCCTTGGAGGGGCCCCAACGATGTCCGTGCGCCGCTGGCGCCCTGCTCCTGCGTCGGAGGCCGTCGCCGATCCTTGTGCCGGCCCCGCAGAACTGCGGAGGGGGGGAGAAGGAGCAAGGAAGGGGGGGGGGAGAAAGGATCTTTGCACATCTACGCAGCCAATCCCAACTTACCGGTACGCGGAGTGTTTTACCCTTGGGACATGCTCGCCGTCGCACATCTTGCGTCGCGCCTGCACAGAAAGCAAATGAATGATTTGGATCAGCACCAACTTGAGAGGAAAGGGGACTATATCGAGTTATTCTACAGCGGCGTCAAGGGCAACTGTAAGCAGCAGGCCGTACCGTTCGTTGTGACTCTGGTACTGCTGGCGTTCGCCGCAAGGGTCTGATGCCGAGGATATACTCGGACGAAGCGCAGGAGCCAGGATCGGAGGCTCATGCGGAGATCGAGGGGGGGCAAGGAGGGGGGGGAAGGGAATGGGTTGGTGGCGATGAGAGAACGGATGTGACACAAAGGCAATGCACATTTAGAAGCAGGCAGCGAGCTAGCCGGAGACACTCCAGCCCCATGCAACGGGCCCTCAGAGCAACATGTCGTGCCCACGCAGCCGGCCTAATAGACACGCCACATGCACCGGTGGCCAGGCGATGCATGCGGCATGCCCACTAGGCCGGCTGCTTGGGCAAAACTATTGGAGATAGTTGGAGGTAGTTGTGGGTGCAGAAAAACCAACAGGGCAGGCACGCGTGTGAGACGTTGTAGCCGTGTGAAACTCACCTTTATTCGCTAGGCGAAATGGATGCGGATGGGGGCCGTACTGGCGAATAGCAGCGGTACGGCAGCGGCGGCTGGCTCCGCACGCCGCTGGCCGTCGTCGATCCTTGTGCCGGCCCCGCAGAACTGCGGAGGGGGGGAGAAGGAGCAAGGAAGGGGGGGGGAGAAAGGATCAGCAGGAAAAGCAGGTGCGAGCCCGCCACCGGTAGGCCCTCCAATGAATGCTCAATGCCCATGCAACATGCCTAGTACGATGCAGCTAAATGCCCCCACATGCATGCACATGATCCCTGACACGCCAGGGCCTACCTTCCAAGCGCGGGGTTGTACACACTTACCTGCTCCGCCCATGCCTTGGAGGGGCCCCAACGATGTCCGTGCGCCGCTGGCGCCCTGCTCCTGCGTCGGAGGCCGTCGCCGATCCTTGTGCCGGCCCCGCAGAACTGCGGAGGGGGGGAGAAGGAGCAAGGAAGGGGGGGGAGAAAGGATCAGCAGGAAAAGCAGGTGCGAGCCCGCCACCCGTAGGCCCTCCAATGAATGCTCAATGCCCATGCAACATGCCTAGTACGATGCAGCTAAATGCCCCCACATGCATGCACATGATCCCTGACACGCCAGGGCCTACCTTCCAAGCGCGGGGTTGTACACACTTACCTGCTCCGCCCATGCCTTGGAGGGGCCCCAACGATGTCCGTGCGCCGCTGGCGCCCTGCTCCTGCGTCGGAGGCCGTCGCCGATCCTTGTGCCGGCCCCGCAGAACTGCGGAGGGGGGGAGAAGGAGCAAGGAAGGGGGGGGAGAAAGGATCAGCAGGAAAAGCAGGTGCGAGCCCGCCACCGGTAGGCCCTCCAATGAATGCTCAATGCCCATGCAACATGCCTAGTACGATGCAGCTAAATGCCCCCACATGCATGCACATGATCCCTGACACGCCAGGGCCTACCTTCCAAGCGCGGGGTTGTACACACTTACCTGCTCCGCCCATGCCTTGGAGGGGCCCCAACGATGTCCGTGCGCCGCTGGCGCCCTGCTCCTGCGTCGGAGGCCGTCGCCGATCCTTGTGCCGGCCCCGCAGAACTGCGGAGGGGGGGAGAAGGAGCAAGGAAGGGGGGGGAGAAAGGATCAGCAGGAAAAGCAGGTGCGAGCCCGCCACCGGTAGGCCCTCCAATGAATGCTCAATGCCCATGCAACATGCCTAGTACGATGCAGCTAAATGCCCCCACATGCATGCACATGATCCCTGACACGCCAGGGCCTACCTTCCAAGCGCGGGGTTGTACACACTTACCTGCTCCGCCCATGCCTTGGAGGGGCCCCAACGATGTCCGTGCGCCGCTGGCGCCCTGCTCCTGCGTCGGAGGCCGTCGCCGATCCTTGTGCCGGCCCCGCAGAACTGCGGAGGGGGGGAGAAGGAGCAAGGAAGGGGGGGGGAGAAAGGATCTTTGCACATCTACGCAGCCAATCCCAACTTACCGGTACGCGGAGTGTTTTACCCTTGGGACATGCTCGCCGTCGCACATCTTGCGTCGCGCCTGCACAGAAAGCAAATGAATGATTTGGATCAGCACCAACTTGAGAGGAAAGGGGACTATATCGAGTTATTCTACAGCGGCGTCAAGGGCAACTGTAAGCAGCAGGCCGTACCGTTCGTTGTGACTCTGGTACTGCTGGCGTTCGCCGCAAGGGTCTGATGCCGAGGATATACTCGGACGAAGCGCAGGAGCCAGGATCGGAGGCTCATGCGGAGATCGAGGGGGGGCAAGGAGGGGGGGGAAGGGAATGGGTTGGTGGCGATGAGAGAACGGATGTGACACAAAGGCAATGCACATTTAGAAGCAGGCAGCGAGCTAGCCGGAGACACTCCAGCCCCATGCAACGGGCCCTCAGAGCAACATGTCGTGCCCACGCAGCCGGCCTAATAGACACGCCACATGCACCGGTGGCCAGGCGATGCATGCGGCATGCCCACTAGGCCGGCTGCTTGGGCAAAACTATTGTAGATAGTTGGAGGTAGTTGTGGGTGCAGAAAAACCAACAGGGCAGGCACGCGTGTGAGACGTTGTAGCCGTGTGAAACTCACCTTTATTCGCTAGGCGAAATGGATGCGGATGGGGGCCGTACTGGCGAATAGCAGCGGTACGGCAGCGGCGGCTGGCTCCGCACGCCGCTGGCCGTCGTCGATCCTTGTGCCGGCCCCGCAGAACTGCGGAGGGGGGGAGAAGGAGCAAGGAAGGGGGGAAGAAAGGATCAGCAGGAAAAGCAGGTGCGAGCCCGCCACCGGTAGGCCCTCCAATGAATGCTCAATGCCCATGCAACATGTCTAGTACGATGCAGCTAAATGCCCCCACATGCATGCACATGATCCCTGACACGCCAGGGCCTACCTTCCAAGCGCGGGGTTGTACACACTTACCTGCTCCGCCCATGCCTTGGAGGGGCCCCAACGATGTCCGTGCGCCGCTGGCGCCCTGCTCCTGCGTCGGAGGCCGTCGCCGATCCTTGTGCCGGCCCCGCAGAACTGCGGAGGGGGGGAGAAGGAGCAAGGAAGGGGGGGGAGAAAGGATCAGCAGGAAAAGCAGGTGCGAGCCCGCCACCGGTAGGCCCTCCAATGAATGCTCAATGCCCATGCAACATGCCTAGTACGATGCAGCTAAATGCCCCCACATGCATGCACATGATCCCTGACACGCCAGGGCCTACCTTCCAAGCGCGGGGTTGTACACACTTACCTGCTCCGCCCATGCCTTGGAGGGGCCCCAACGATGTCCGTGCGCCGCTGGCGCCCTGCTCCTGCGTCGGAGGCCGTCGCCGATCCTTGTGCCGGCCCCGCAGAACTGCGGAGGGGGGGAGAAGGAGCAAGGAAGGGGGGGGGAGAAAGGATCTTTGCACATCTACGCAGCCAATCCCAACTTACCGGTACGCGGAGTGTTTTACCCTTGGGACATGCTCGCCGTCGCACATCTTGCGTCGCGCCTGCACAGAAAGCAAATGAATGATTTGGATCAGCACCAACTTGAGAGGAAAGGGGACTATATCGAGTTATTCTACAGCGGCGTCAAGGGCAACTGTAAGCAGCAGGCCGTACCGTTCGTTGTGACTCTGGTACTGCTGGCGTTCGCCGCAAGGGTCTGATGCCGAGGATATACTCGGACGAAGCGCAGGAGCCAGGATCGGAGGCTCATGCGGAGATCGAGGGGGGGCAAGGAGGGGGGGGAAGGGAATGGGTTGGTGGCGATGAGAGAACGGATGTGACACAAAGGCAATGCACATTTAGAAGCAGGCAGCGAGCTAGCCGGAGACACTCCAGCCCCATGCAACGGGCCCTCAGAGCAACATGTCGTGCCCACGCAGCCGGCCTAATAGACACGCCACATGCACCGGTGGCCAGGCGATGCA